CGTCGAAGAGCCGCTCCCGCTTTTTCTGCGGCAACTTGCCAACAGCCTGCACCTGTTGCTCCAGGGACGTAGCTTTTTTGCCCCCACATGATCGAGAGCTGGGCGCACCGGCCGCAGACCTTCCGGCGCCTGGCTCCCACAAGTAGATTTTTCGCACCTCTCGCACCTTATCTACAGCCCGCTGCCGTGCGCGCTCAATCTCTGCAGCAGTGAAATACTTTTCACCGTAGCGAGGCCCCTGCTTGGATGCGGTTCCACAACTGTGGTCAAGCATCACGACGTCCTTGCTCGTGGACCACGATTGTCCTCCAACAGAGCCTGAGGAAGAGCATGCACGCTCTCCTCCCTCAACAACACTACTAGTAGAATTTTTCAAGCCTCTTACGTCCCCCACGACCTGTTCTTCTTCTTCTTGGGCGCGGCCAGGACCAGTCGTACTAGTAGTTGCTGTAAAATTATTAGAAGTTTCTTGGGCGCCTGTTCCACTGCTAGTCGCAGTAAAAATAGGAGCAGTGCTGGTATTTTGGTTAGTCATACAACTTCTAGAAGTAGTTTTATAATCAGTGGCTGTTGTTTGGCTCGTCCATGCTCCGGTCCTCTTGCGTTCTGTGATGGCAGCCAAGCGTCGTGCCTCTTCGTCATACTCCGGATAGAACCGCTCATCCAGCAAATGCACGCCTCTCACGCACAACCGGGCATGAAAGTAACCCTTGTCCAACGGGAGGAGGCGGCCAGTTTCAGCTGTACATCGGACCCGCTGCTTCTATTAGAGCTCATTGCGAGATTCTGGAGAACAAGGGATCCAGTATGGAGCTGTTTTCCCCTTTTAATGAACTTTTCGAGGGACTCATTCTGTTTTTGGAGCTGATTCCCCCTCACACTATGGGACAATAGGACGAGATTCGTTTTCAAGTTGTTTTCCCCTAGTGGTATGGGACTTCCCCAAGAAGGACTAGGAGACTCATTTTGGAGCTGTTTTCTCCTCATGTGGAGATTGATTTAATTGTACACTAGGTAGTGGAAAATGGAAGATTAGGGAAGCCATAATTCTGTCGATTCTCCCAAACCCAAGTGACGCAACTGCCTTCCGCGCCTCCCTTGTTGAGACTGTCCGCGATCGCTTCCTCTTTGCGCTTGCCTGCGTGCTTGCGGTTTTGTCTCTGGCGCTGCACAGGATTCTTATTCTTACTCGTTTTCACTTTACTAGATATTCCTGAACCGGATGATGTTGAAGTATTAGATTTTTTGTCACTTGGATGAAAATTAAAATCTTGCGGAGGATTATTATTTTTAGCGTTGGTTACTAGAACTTCTTCGTCAATTTCTCCTCTGTCACCGTCGACTCGATAGACAAAGAGGACATGCCGTTTTTCCATCTCCTGGCGCCACGCGATGGCTTGATCCCTTGCCCGCTCAATCTCTACCTCGACGCGGTCTTGATCGATCTCTAACGACCCTGAAGCAAGTGCGGGCGCGAACGCACGACGCCAAATCTTCCCTTTACCGATTGACAACTGCGCCATCCAACATCCAAGCTGCGACCTCTTGCTTTTACAACTCGACTGAGTAAATGCAGTTTCTTCTACCAGCTGGCTTCCTGCTTCAGGCCCTCCATCTGCGGCTTTGGGAAGAACATCTGGTACTGAACTGCTTGTCTGCTGAAACGTGTCAGGCACTTTTGAAGATGACGAAGCCGGGTCCGACGATGTCCCGTCCGCATTTCTTCCGCCCCCTCCGTTTGAGGCAGCAGCACCACCGAGCCACGTGACGCCTGGATATCCGCTCTGCCGCAGCGCCGGTTGTTTCCACCGCTTGCGCCATCCAGCGTAGTTACCCGTTGCCGCGTGCGCAGCACCAATCGCTTCAATGTGTTGTTGCCGTAGTTGGAGTAAATCACGCTTAAAGGCGAGTGCCGCGTCCAGAGCACGCTGTCGTGCAAGCGAAAACTTGTCTTCCGAAGACACCTCCGAGGAATTCTTATTGCCAAGCATTCTATCGAAGATCCGCGCTGCTTCTATTGAAATACTGGATTCATTTTCCCCTACTGCTCCTGCAGCGACCTTCTTCCGTGCTGCTGCGGAAGTCGCATCCTCTTCGAAGAAGGACTTGACCAAGAAGTCTTGCGCTAACGAAACCTGGTGCTGTCTGTGTGACACTCTCCAACAGCCGTATCCATGAACGTGAGGAACCCACTTTACTCCTCGTAGACCGGAAAAGTCCGACTTTTCCCGGATCACACGAAGTCGCCGACCGTCCCACGTCTTTTGTGGTACACGTTGTTTTGGAGGAGGATGACAGGAGGAGGACATCAGTGAAGGGGATGAGGACATCAGTGAGGAGGATGCCGATCCTTGCTTCCCATCGCGTGCTAGAGCCTCCTTTTGATTTCCATTGAGTCCCAGATGCTCGTCTAGTAGGCGTTCAACAAAAGCCTGCTCCTCCGCATCGGCTGCAAGCGCATCGCCTGCAAGTTAATGAGTAAACTAAAATCATGGTAGCATACGAGCAGGAGGTCTAAATCTAAGTGCTAGCTGCACTTAAATCTAAACGAGTAAGTAGTCGCTACATCGGTATCCATTCTTATCTTTGCCTGCTTTACCATTTTTCTTCCTTGCATCCGCTTTACCTGCTGGACCGCACGCCAGCAAATCCGACCTTGCAAGATAACGAGCCTCTTGCGGAGCGTGATGCGTTGTTCCTAGAAAATTTTCTTTTCCTAGATCTTCCTTGACCAGAAGACTCACGTCAGTTTCGAACCGCTGCCTCAAGTCCCGAAGCCTGTTTGAGCGCTCTACAACTGAAAGCGACCGGCTCTCATCAAGCTCTGCGAGTTGCAAATGAAAATCGCTCGTGCGAGAGCGCAAACGCTGGACACGTTCCTTTCGCATCGCGAGCTGCTCCACAACCTCCAACGACATCTTCCCACGCACACGAGCAACAATATCTGATTTTGTTGGACGAGGGTGCAGGGTTTTATTTAGAATGCTGCCGCTGCATTCTCTTTTGTTGTTCTTCGTTTATCTCAGATGATCGCTTTGCGGGACACAAAGCAACCAAGAAGCAGGAGCATAAGCATCATCACTCAGTCTGAAGCTATCAATCTGCAGTAAAGATAAATCTGATGAAGGAGGTTGATTAGCATGAAAGATGAAGGAGGTGGATTAGAATGAAAGATCTCATTCGCCTTAGAATTCAAGAAACGACTCTTCAGGTGGAACTGATCCTCTCCTTCGCACACCTGGCCAGGATAGAATCCATCTCCTTCGTCATGACAAGATGAAGGAGGAATGAAAGATGAATGCGATGAAAAGATGAAGGAGGCGGATTAGAATGAATGAAGTTCAAGTTTTTTATCTTCTGAAGAATCAGCCCTCCTGCTGTGTCAACTTATCACAAACAGCCAGTGCCAACACTAGAAGTACCATCGTCATCTCTCCCCGCTCTTGTCTTCTTCCACAGTTTCGACTTCCACGATGCATTTCCAAACGCGCTTTCAGCCAGTACCCCGATCCCTGAAGTGTTGCCTGCCGTAGGAGGTAAGCCGTTCGTTGGAGTGAGTCCGCCGGCCGGGATGAGCCCCTGCGCCGGTGTCAGACCACCACCCGGCGTTAGTCCCCTTGCTGGGGTAAGTCCTTCGGCTGACGTTAATACTTCCGCCGGTGTCAAGCCACCTCCTGCCGTTAGCCCTTCCGCCGGTGTCAACTCGCCTGCGAAAAATCCAATCACTGTTCCTCCTCCCCCTTCTCCGTCGCTCTCGTCAAAGCCTCCCGGGGCCGGCGTGAGACCACTGTCGAGCATCTCTTCGTCCTCATCTATGTCGTAAAGGTTGCAGTGATCGTCCTCCCAATTACGTTCCAGGAAAGCACAGTCGCGACCGGGTTTCACTGACAAACTCCCTGTGGGGTCCTCTGCTGGCGTTAGACCCGCATAGTAATCATCGTCGTCCAGGTCCTGGTACAAATTATCGTTGTTGTCATTTCGACACCCCGATTTTTCGATTTGTCTCGTCGCGGAAGGACACTGGTAGTCTGCTCCCATCTTCGAGGATACGGGCTGACTCCGTGTTCCGTGTTCCACTCGTTTCGAACTTATGTCCCTCCGCCCGTCTCGCTTACCTGCTCCACCATCGCTGGAAGATAATCTAGCTACCTTATTTTGGCCTGCATGCTTGGCCTCACAGTCTGCTTCCAAGAAGAAGTCTTCTTCTATCCTGCGTCTCTTTCTGTCGGCCTGGGGTGGGCTTGCCAGCAACCGCTCTATCTCCTCCTCGAGGCCTGGAGCAGCTACGGAACGATAGATAGAATCAGCACCGGCGTTGATGTTCTCCTCAAGCCCCGCGTCCGGAGCGGCATTTTTGCTACCAACATGTTCGACATTCTGCAACGACGAAGGCTCCTCTACTTGTCTGCGACCCCGTACGCTAGTCGTTGACGTAGTTCGAGCTGCCGTCGCCTGCCGCCGAACCGGACGACCTCTTTTAGCAACTGGCATTTAGCGGTAACCATAGACGATGAGAGGCGGGTGCTGCGTTTTTACGTACATACAAGATACATCCTTTACATACACATATAATTTTTTTCTGGCCCGGCTCTGGTAAATCGAGATAATTTTGAGTAAAAAATTAATGCAACGTGAAATTTGTAGCAGATCGGTAATCATCATCGTTTTTATGCAAATAGAGCTCAAAAAAGGTAAAGATCCTACAAATACATACTCACTTGTGAAAGTATAAGTAGCATAAAGACTTACAGCACCAGGATAGGAGGAGTAGTGTGCGTGTGTCTGACTCCGATGATTCCGGACTCAGCTGCTTCTTAGCTCAGACGTACTTAGATGCGTACCGATATTTTTTCAGTCGTACAGAACTGACAAGACGAATTGAGTGATTTTCACCTATCATCAAGCTACACAGATGGTTGAAGCAGACCGAGACCGACATTTCCTTTCAAATCGTCATCCGGCACGACCGACTTTTTCAGTTCGGTTGTGCTCCGATCATGATCTTTACAGGCCTTATATGACATCATACTGCATTCCAAACGACCGCGCAAGGCCATCGGCGGGATGATACATTTCCTGCGGTCGTAAAGACTTATATGGAATCCACACTAATTTTCAATACCGAGTCAACCTTACCCAGAGATGAACGAACGATTCTTAATCCGTCTAAAAATGATCACCTTTCAGAGCAAGCCGTTCTACAATCATACATTTCCGCTACTGGTGAAAACTTTCAGCATCTCCTCGCACAGAATATGGTAGGACATTCGACCAGAACGAACCCTGCACCGGCAAGGTTCGTTTTGGTAAAAATCTGTCCGTTCACAATACAGAAAGCTACTACCACCGTCGCAACTACAATGCAACGGAACTAGCCGCCCGTAATCGCGCATCGCAAAGAAGCTATGAGTATCAACCCGCCATGGCCGTCCTGTTCTCGTCCATGCTGGTTCAAAAAATCTATGATCCACAACATGCTGTTGCTGTTCCATGTAAAATCAATACACAACTACATGATGTTTGTTCATATCAACCTCCATGTGATTCTTTTGGTATGTGTATCATGGGACTACTACTAGATAGGAATTCCAACACAAGATGGGGTCTTGGTGGGTGGGGAAGAAAAAACCTCGCTAGTAGCTCCAAGAACCATTCACAACGAAGACATGACCACCAGGACTCGAAACGTCCCACAGCTCTTCGTGGTACATTTGGATCCAAGGGCCTCGATCACCATCTGTAAACGATGTCCCGACCAGCAATGCTCTCCTCCAGGTGGGCGATCACCATTTGTAAACGATGTCCCGACCGGCAATGCTGACCTGTCCCACAGTTGATTTCCATGCTTTCTTATTGGGATTCGAAATCTTCTGCAGCTGTGTCGAGAGTTTACCAGTGGTGCTGTTCGGATCCTCCTTCGCGCGTCGCTTGGCCGGCGCAAACGAAGGTGGCAATGAAGAAATGTCGAAGACCTGTCATTTCAGTTTCAGAAAAAAAGATTGATGAAGATCGCACGAAAAGGAGACGAGTGGTCTCATAATATTGATGTTGGTGTTTTTCCCTAGATTTATTTTTATAGCCACAAGAAGTTAAAACTTCATCAAAGAGAAAAACTTGAAGTCAACAAGGGATCTAAAACTTTTACCGGCTTATCCATTGGCATCACTGCATGCCGCATCTTTCTTCGTTCTTCGATAAGCTTTAGGTCATCCCCTTTTGGTTGCCATATCAGGTTTTTCTCGCGTTCCGTCTTCATTCTCTGGCCGTCTCCACCAGTTCTCTGACCGTCTCCGCCAGGTAGAGCTAGATCGAGTTCGTCTCCTGACCTGGGCATCTTGCGGCCCCTTGCGTCGACCTCGATAGCTTCGTCGTCCGAGCCAGCTTCCGCTCTAGACCGCTTCTCGGGACCGCCGGTGACATACGACACCCAGCTGCCGATCAGCCTCTGCGCTCTCTGTCTCAAATCGCGGGGATACTTCGAATCCTTCAAAATACGACGCATTTCCTTCCCTGTTTCGTACATTTTTTTGGGTCGTGTGATCATATAGGAGGCGACAAAGAAGACCAAATCATATCGAAGACAAAAAATATTTACAAGAACATTAAAAATGAACATCATCTTAGAAGGTAAAGGTATGTTACTTGTAAATAAATTATACCGATTCCACTTATCCTGACCTCCTCCTTGCTTATTGTGGGGCCGAGGGTATCGAGGCATTTTACTACGATTTCCACCACCGAAAGTGGTGGCTCGGCTAGCTCGCCCATACCCTCTATTGGTCGAATCCATTCCTTCAACCATTCTACACCTGTCGAGTTAGAGTTGGAAAGTTTCATCAAGAAATATTTCAAAATCAAAATCTTCTAGGAATATACATAAATCATCTGGTTCACAATCTACTAAGAAATCTTGATCTTTTATCATCTTCTCCTAGAACGTAGGGGTGTGAAAATTTCGTACCTCCAGCAATGACGAACTGTTCTTTGAAGCCGCTGCGATTGACAAGTCGATAAACTTTTTCAACTTGCTGGGCCTTATTGATAGCCGGGCTTCCCTCTTGTAATGCCTTCTTGTCATCATGCTGAACTTTGATCATATGTTTAACCTGGTGTGATGTAGGAACAAAAGTAATTCTAAGTTACTTGATGAACACCGGTATCATCGTCTTGCTGAAGAAGTTACCTTTCTTGGAATCGTGTGAGGTTTGCCAAATTGAATCTATTCGACAAGGTGCCTAAGTAGATTTCCCTGACGATTTCACAACCCCATAATCTAGAAGAAATACAAAGTAAGATGAGTTCTTGTATATTCATAAGTGTTGTAACATATTCAATACCAAATTTTCAGCCTGTGTCTTTGCGTCTGACGCGGTGAACTTGCCTCCTGCTCGCTTTTTCTTCTTGTCTTTGTTGATTAATTCGAGAGACTGTTCGAATGGGTTTTTTGGTTTCTCTTCTTGCTCCCCAGGCTCCTGCCCCATATCTAAACCGCCCTCGGCTCCTCCCACTCCTCCCAGGCCCGCTCCATCTCCACCGACGAAGGCATCGTCCTGAAACGCTTCATCCTGGTTCCCGCCATCGCCGAAGAGATCTTCCTCTTCATTCACCACAAAATCTCGCAGGTCGTCTGCCATCTTTTTTTCCCACCTATCTAAATGTATAATCTTTCAGACCTGATGTAGTATAATCTTCGGTTCTTACGAAATTTTAAAAAAACAGTAGACTTCGTGTGATGTCGTGAAAAAAGCTTAGCTAGTAATTTCTTTTACGAAAACCTATACTATGGAGTTGAAAACCGCGCACAGGAAAAATCACACACACAAGATTCATGAAAGATCACACAGGCAATATACAGAGAAAAGTCGGTCAATAAACCTCTTTTCCTTCTAGTAAAAAGTGATCATTCATGCTCAAAAACAAAATGCTCTACGGTATGCGAATAACATAGCCTACGACATACAGGTCTTTCTTCTAGAACAACGGGAACAAACATTACTACGCTACCGCAAGAACCCGAATCAGTGGTCGCATAAGCATGATATTACGTCGAATCCTATGATCGCCAACCACTTCAGCCTGACACGTTGTAAGTAATTGGGTCACGTCAGGTAGGTGAAGAGTGAGACTGCCAGCACACTTATCAATACAACTGTCTTTCGGGTCTCATCTCAACATCAGCATCGTCTACTTGCTTGTTGATCTACAATAAGTTGTACTCACAAGTGCCAAGAAGATCCTTGTAATCAAATTGAAGCAACTAACATGATGAGAATGACATAAAAACTCCTTGCAGTAGTTGAATAGTCATTTTTTGAATTTTGGATATGAACTTTGGGAATGAACTTTGGGGATGGGTTCGATGCGTTTCCAATTGAGACATAGACAGCTGCCATTGGGGATAGGTATTATTAAGACAGGAGCAGCCTCTAGGGATTGATGTAAGTTGTAAGAAGGAGATCGTGATCAGATCTTGATCCTCCAGACGAGACGAGCAAACTCGAGTTTCCAATTGATTCAACGTTAGACCTATCACTTGGCTGATCTCCACTAGCCTCGTTGATGTTATATCTAAGTTAGTATGTATAATATGCACATTGTACAACGTGAACGCTCCTTTCCAAAATATCAAGCAAAATAACCATGATGATTGATAGGACACAGCTTATGTACCCAGCAGGACTTTGTCACTCTCAGAAGCACGTCACACCGCACATGACCGATCTATTCTGATCAGAGAAGAAACTAATGCATCATCTCTCAAGAAGGTCGTATTCCGAGTCAAAGACATTCTTTATTCCTGAAACCCTTCGTTCCGAACGCATAGAAGCAGAACATCGTCGAATAGAGATCGGGTGCACACGAGGCAGAATTCTTCTGTCAACATTTAGAATTTTTGCGCTGTCACAGAACGACACCATCAAAGATCTTTCGAATGTTGAGCAGGTGCCAGATTTCTAAAAGAACAAGGAAAGAAGAACAGATCCTAGAAATTACTATCTCAACGATTCTCCATCTCACATTAGGGACCTGTAGTTGTACACTCAACAACTCGTTCGATTTTCATTCCTTCTTTCTAGGTGAAGATGGAGACGCCAGTTATAATGTTCTCCTTTCGTCTACTTGTAAGACCATTCGAGGACCTACAGTGGAGTAATTGTCTTCCGATGATCTATAATTTTCATACTTACTGTGAACTGGTATGAATGAGGACGAACCCACTAGAAACTATTTCTGCTTAATTACCTACTGCAGACTACTCGCCTAAGCATCTTTGTTTGAGCAATGTTTCCTTTGCCCCGACAACAAAGCTCTACAACGTATCTTCGAGAGTGCGCAAAACGTCGCATGGCCTTCTTAAGAGGTTGCTGCATACCTACAGGCCCTGTCGCAAATTTCGAAACGTTCTTCGCAGCATTTAGCAACCTCCTCTTCATACAACATAGTACCGATACCCACTAGATTAGTGCAACCACAATCCGCCATCTCCATAAGTGGTGGCCTTGGATTGGCTACCCGCGGCATCCTTCTCGTCCTTGTCGCGGATTCAATGCGAACGCAGTTTCGCTATCAAACAAACCGTCCCACATCACTGCGCAGGCCAGCGCCGAATGGAGCCTTCCCCACAGGCGCAATGGATAGCCACTTCTTCCGCATACTCTGTAATAAGTTTCGTCCTCACGGGAGCCGCAGTTTATCTCGTCTGGTACAACATGTTCCGCTCGTCACCAATGAGGAATACTGGGTCGGCCTGCCCCTATTTTCGTCGGGACAAAAGCTTCGCATATCAGCTTCTACGAGTGCTTTTTGCGCGTGAGACTTCCCGTTGTCGTCCTCGAAAAGAGTCTGTCGCGAATCAGGCCCCTCCTGCTCACAACCAACCAGCTGAATGCTCCCAACCAACCACCTGATAAAACGAGCCTGCGCTTTTGTCCGCGATTTAAATCTGGTCTCCAAAAAACTCGCGCTCCTCATCGGTAGTAGCAGCATGATCCATGTCACTCGTGCTTCGGCTTTCGTGCGCAGCCGCATTACTGTTAACAGCATCGTCGCTGGCAGCAAGCAAGGATGGCGACATTTTCTCAGATCGGTCTTCTTCGTCGTTTGAAACTGTCGTACTCATAATGGGTGGCAATTCATCCAGCTGACCAGACGTGCTGACGCCGTCTCTGGAGTAGTCGTAGGGGACCGGCAACAGTTCGCCTTTACGCGGTTGGCGTCCGCTCTCCGGTCCAAAATAGCGATATCGACGCCGCATGTCATCTGCTACGCCTGCACAACATTTCTTCACACGTTCAACGATTACACGATCCGCATTTTCTTCTACGAGCAACCTACAGGCAGCGTCGTCCCAGAAAAATTAGATGAAATGGAGAGAGAAAAGAGGACTGATCATGAATGAACATGCACACTCTTTTTTGTGTCAGTTTGTCACCATTTGAAACAACTCATTGCGTACTACTTACAAACAAATGTCGTCGTGATCTTATTCGCTGATAAATCGTGTACGGGTGTAATTATAGATACTTTTCTTCTTGTTTGAAAGGAATCCACAAAAGCCATCAAAAAAGTTGGCTACCGTCCTTTAAACGGTGAAATACTCTACGACAACACTATTTTTCTCATAAATGTAAGGTTTGATGTTCAGGACTTCCGTGTCCGGGACACCATCGCCATCGCTATCGAAGCCACCAGCTAGCTCCTCCATCGAGTCTAGCAATCGCATCCAGTCCCTAGCATTCCATTTTTCCAGTCTAGACCTCGTCGGCAAGTAGGGGCAGCTCGCATCTTTCCCACTGGGGCCGCCGATCATAACCTTATATATCGTAGTTATTAGTAAAAAAACGTGATTGCCGTCTAGTATACAAGAACTAGAGGCAGGCGTGAACAAGATGGATGGTAATCCTTACTTACTAGTCCTTTTCTGCTGTAGGGAAATAGATATACCGTTTTCAGTGCTTTCTCCGGAACCGGGCAAGGCAGCGTCATATTCCACGCGCGGCATTTCTCCGAAGGGTATATTTCGTCTAAGGTTATGTTGTTCTTCTGAAAAACCAACTCGTTATGGACTTCGCAGTTGACCGGGTCGCTCGTGAATTGGGAAGCGCCTTCGCATAACCGGTGACTCACAGCCAAGTTTCCGAGTTTCAAGTAAGATCCGATGTCGAGGAGCATCAGCACAGGCTCTTTTCGCATGCAAAACAGCAGGTCGTTTCGCCACGTGAAGTTTGCGGCGTGATGGACACTCTTGCCGAAACAGTGGAATGCACCGTGTGGCGATCGCTTCAGCCTTTCTGTGATCTCCAGCATGATGTGCTGTGAATGCGTCTCGGACTCCGCACCGATGAACCTGAGGCGAATTCGGGGTGAAGTACAGAGTCTCAGCTGACTCGCGCGATAGACATGTTGTCTGTAAAAAACGTAGTTTTTTCCACGCTCATGCTATTAACATAGTTCTAAGTATACAAGTCAATGTCATCGTTCTCCAAATCGTGGTGCTCTTCTGACGGGTGCGAGTTAGCCGCGTATCGCAAAAAAGCCATCAAAGTTCCGCCTTTTGGAGCCCATTCTATCTGCATCACATCGGTAAAGAGATGATTGATCTCCCACAGCACGTCTAAAAATTAGAAAGGATGCCTAGAGAGTCAGAGACAAATAAAACTGCTTACACTAAATTCTTGGCTGGCGATTCGTTAGAATTCCTGCTGGTATCAACTTGTTGATTTTCATTACCTCTGCTAGCTTAATTGTAGTTCTGCATGCGTTTCTCCTTCGTGAGATTGCCGCGTCGATAGTCCGCAGTATGCTCGTGGCTCATTTCTAGAGCAAACATTTCGTTGCCTGCAGCTTGAGACTCGTACATTACTCGAAAGGCAGCCGTAGTATCACTTTTCACTTTGTCTAGAGCGGCGCGAACTCCAGCATGTTCACCACCGCCTCCACGTGGACGGCTTTCCTCGTCTTCTTCAGGATAATCCTCGATCATTAGAACTATTTACACGCTTGTCGAGAAGAACTGTTGGCACTAATGTACACACAAGTGGGACGGTAAAAGCTTCATAACAGAGCAGATAGTAGAGCCCACCAGTACACTAGAGCAAACATAAGTAGCACACACTCCTTGTCCTTTTCGTAATACAGCACTCCCCTCTCCTCGAACTGACAAAGGGCCAAGCATGTCCTCATCTGTCCAGGCGCTGCCGACGCGGAAACTCGCGGTTTGAGCCATAATATCGAATCTCTGGATGCCCGTCTGAATGAGTGCGAAATTCCGCTGCGCCTCATAAATCGGCGCCCAGATGTCTCCATTCACCTCCAAAAACTTGTCGTGGTGGTACACAGCTGCAAACAACAACGACGCGGGAAAGCACTTGTCTAACATGAAAGCTCCTGTGTGGAATGGTGACGCTGAGAGGATGAGAGATTCCAGATGATCTCATCTGTATTCGCAAATTTTCTCTGGAATCATATCAAACTACAAGAAAAGTAGCCGTCTCTGAGAACGTATGGTCCTTCCGTAACATACAGCAGCTTTTGAAAGGACATGAATCCTTCGGTAAGCAGAAAATAGGCATACATCGCGCCCATGCTCGTATATTTTCCTAGACCATCGTGCACCTTGTAAGCTTCCAATTTGTCTGTGAAGTCCGAAAATGTATGTCTGTGCCTGTCGCGATAGTGATACTTCTGGTCGCGATAGTACTGTTAGAGGTGTAGGAAATGCGTCTCAGATAGGGTTGCTCTTCTTGACTGCTTATCGCAGACGACTTTGAAAATGCATTACCTAGAACCACACACTTTCTTAATACTGGTATCCTTGCTCCGGAGTCGCTGTGTCGTAGTAGTGATCTGGAAAAGGGTAGCGTAAGCCCTTGCGGATCTGGGACAAAGTCTCCTGCACAGCTCGAGCCTTCGCGTTGTAATACGGGTATTGCCGGAAAATCTCAGTGTGATAAAATGTGCGTCGCCTTTGAGCACGGGCCGGTTCGTGATAATCATCATGCTGGAAGAAGATCTCCCGTACAACTGCTTTCGAATGGTGCTCATGACCTGGCGACTTTTCCTGTCGTTCCTCAACCTCTTCATCCTTCTGATTGGTCTCCTTCGGTCTAAGATGACCCAGCCTAAGATGACAGCCGTTTGCACGAAGATAGAGATGTGCGAAGGACGCGCGCCACTTGCGCAGCTGCGCTCGTAATGCTTGAAAGACCCACTCGAGTTCAGCCTTTTTCGCCAGATTGGCGGAAACCCCAAGGGCCTCGAATTGCTGTCGGAACACAATTTCAGCCGTCGCACTGGGAAATCCCGCACTATGCCAATTAACAACCACGCGTTCGCGCGTTGGCAGTGTTACACCACGTGCGACTTCTGATGTTGAGGGGATTTTGTCAGTTGTTCCAGAAGTTTGAATCTCAGCGGGGTCACTCAAAGACTTATGTCTAGTACCGCCGTGGTGGACACCTGCAGAAGATAACCTTTGCTTTGCAATTCTAGACGCATGCACTCGGTCAGCAGTCAGTCGACGCGTCGACGCATCTCCGTCACTGTCCTCGTCTAGAATGCCAAGAGGCGCTTCGGTGGAAACGCTTCCTTGCGCTCCTGACATCAATGGCATTAGCGCTTGATGGTACCGTTCGTAAAAAGTAAGTACATCTCTCGTAACATGATTCCTCATGTTCGTAGTGTGCGTCAACACACCCCAAACACTGATTTAACTCATTATACACTAAACTTGAGTTGTTTCCCTTCCCAAAGCCTTAACAATGCCTGTCTTCTATCGTGCGGACACTGAATCCACCCACGTTGATGCATTGCCGCATGCAGTGCGCGTGCTAAGCTCTCATCTCGACTGACAAGCTCAAGCAGTCCGACTCCTTGCTGGTCCCGCTCTCCATCTGATTCCAATACCCATTTTGGTTCCCGTCCACTGCTGTCTTTCACTTCTTTCTCCAGAAGGAGACCCTGTAAAAGCGCTAACAACAACCTGGATTCGAGGAAGGACGTTTGCGTATCAGGGTCTTTCGCCGATGAATCTTGTTCCTCGATTGATGTCTTCAGCTGTATACTACTAGAAGATCGAAGAGTCAAATTGATTTCTTCTGTCTTTTCCACGATCATGCGAACGCTTCTTTCAGCCGGTAGGTTCAGTCGTCGCGTTGGCACAGAAAACTTGATCACACGCGAACGACCTGTTGTTCCCATGGGAGTACTAGTCGGGGTACCACCTCCATTCGACAAGGCACCAGAAGGCAACAGAGTCTCGAGAAACATTCCGAGTGCCAACACATTCTCGTATAAGCGTTGTCGTCTGCTTGCGCCCTGGGTTGTATTCCCAGCCACCTCAAAATGTTCCTCGATACTGACCACGACATCCTGATACCGCAGCAAACTATTCCCACCTTCCGGATCAACGGCTGTTGTGTCGTGGAGGCGGTCAACAGAACTTTTTTTAGAGAAGACAGCGGTGCTTCTCTACTAGGTGTTCCTGTACTTACTTTGTCCGCAGGCAGGCATATGATTTGCAGCCAGAGAACGGAGACAGCAGACACAAAAATGAAAATTTAAATCACACAGAATAGGAACTACTACCAAATCGTAGCCATACCAGTGCCCCTACTCCCGTCTAGGTCGCGGCTCGAAGGTGCCCTAAACTCAAGGGCATGGCACTGCGACGCGCCAGGATCCGGCCAGCTGGTGAACTCCTCGATTAGTTCCAAGACCTTCTCGTTCGCATTCACCACGACATCTCGCCAGACACAGAGGCAACATAGCAGTACTGATGCCAGAGAGCATATGGGCGAGTTGTGCGAGCGTGCCATCTTTCTTTGCGGAAGATCTTCTACCTTCATAATTGATGATTTCAGACAGTACGTGAACACATAATTCAGATTCATTGATATTCGTTCTCTCATAGTCTTGCGAGTCTCATGAGCGATCTCTCGACTCCTCTCCTGTTCCCCTCGCACGACGTGATCATGTGTCTACTCGCAGGTGTCAATAGCATGCTCAACACAATCACAAAGGATTCGAGAATGAATGGGGTCAGTTGCGCTCATCACCAGTTGCGTAAGCAGTGCGCGCTATGCCTATCAGTTTCGATCGGTGAGGCAAAAGCCACTGCCTGTTGATTACAGTCAAAAAAGAATCGGAACAAAGTTTTAGCTTGTCTCGTCCCATCTTTCTCAATATGTGTCGATCCCCAAATTATGAATCATCTCAAGCATGAGCATGTAGATCATCCTACCAGTACGGAAATCAACAACTTAAAGATTTACGAACATCATGATCAAGGAAACAACAGGAACAAGAAAATCATAACGACAGCAACACGAAGATCAACACCATCAGGATCAACAACATCATCAACATCAGCAACAAGATCAAAGTCTTAAGGTCTTAAACGTGTGCAGCAAGTAACAAGTTGATGAGTTAAATAGTTGGTCCGGATCTAGTTAGCTTAGGCAGATGAAAGGCACTAAGCCCCAGGGATCTTCGTACTTAAAAACAACAAAAACCAAATATTTTGTCTTCTCAAATTTATCCTGTGCTTGTGCAGATTAGCACTAGCTCACAGGACAGGGGCGACATCGCTGAGAATGATGAACTACATCATTCAAATCCGTAGCCATTGGGCTACTTTAAGGTTTATCTAATTTTGATGTTCTCCTGGCCGCAGCATTCTAGTGCTAATCTTGAGCTTCTCTAGTTGTTTCCACATACTGAAAACATTAGAATTTTTTTTTGGTTATAGATAATTGAACTTTACACGAAACAGAATTTTTAAATCTGTTACGTGTAAGAAATTTGCTATTTTTTTTCCTTGTGCTGTAGTGCTGATTGACGTAAATCCTGAATGAGAAAATAAAAATGACCGACCACGAACCACGAGCAGCATACAGCTCGAAAAATTTTCTGTTGAGAGCTAAACAATCTGCTGCACGACGAGAAACCTACGAGGATGCCAAGCATCACGAGAAAAATACGATGCGGCTACTCTGTTCGAATCTTCTGGTGAGATCTGAAAGCACGACGAGGAGCACGAGGGCGAGCACGGTAGTAAAATTTTGATTGATTTAACTGGTACAATTTGACCAACGAACTCCTAGCCCTATGCTACTACAAAAACCCCACAGGGAAAATTTTAAGGTGACCCATTTTCCCAGTATTCTAGTGGCATAAAATTCCAAGCAATAAGTAAATCAATCAGTCAACAAATCGATCAATCACGCACTTACTCAAGAAATAAGTCAAGAAGTCACGAACTAACTAACTCAGTCAATAAATAAGTAAGTCAATCAGTCAGTTAATCAAATAAGGAAGTAAAAAAATTCCTAGTGGGTTAAACAGTCACAACCTTCACAAAAATAGTCTCATCCTTACACGAGCACACCGACGAAATTCGGCGGACCTTTCTGGTTGACGCGATAGGGATACGGTTGCGCAAGCTGTTGGAAGTTACTCCCTTGACGGTTTTCAAAGTGGCCAAGGGAGCAAAGCAAGAAAATTCTGAACGGCAAGAATCTAGTGGTGTAAGAAAAATTTCTAGTGGGTATCTAGTGGCATTACCAAGCTGAAAGTTTAAAAATTCCTGGTTGACGTTAAAGCAAAGGATCCAGCTGCTTGGCAGTTTACCTGGCTGTTGTATTGGAGCCAGAGCAAAAAGCGAAAATGCCGCCGCTGGTAGTGCAATGCCAAGACCTCCTCGATCGTGGGGTAGCAGCCATCCTCCTGGTGCGAGGAGTACCTCCGGGGAGCCTATACGACGGGGGAGGAAATACCAAGTCGCGTCCCGAGATGTATCAGGCAGCAATCCAGAACAACTACCATTGTACTCCGCTGACAACGGTGACGTCTACGCTAACTGTGCCGGAGGTCAATCAGTTGCTCAATACGTATTTTCTGGATACCACTGGCACGAAAGCAGAAAATATTCTACGCTTCAAGGATTTCATCAATGGTCATCAGTTTGCACCACAGCAACAGCCTCCAGCAGCAGGAGGAGGAGCAGCGCAAAGCAGTGCTCCACAACCGCAAAAGCCTGTCAAGTTTACGTGCGAACTAAAAACGTATACGGACAGGAGACAGTTTGAAATCTTCATCGATGAGATCTTCGACACTTGTAAGCTACTACGCATTCGCGATCAGTTTCAAGCCCGCTACATACCTCAGGCAGGGTTAGTTTTGCCAGCGTTATCGGAACAGGAAGAAGCATCGTTTGCGGTTTTGACCAAGGCGATCAAGGATGCTTTATCCATCGGTATTCGCGTCGCGGTGCTCGAAGAGATTCGTCAACAGCGCATGACTGACACGGCCTGGGATATCGTGAAATATATCCAGAAGCAAGTGAACAGTTTGGGCGCAGCGCAAGAAGATGTGGAGTTTGAAGAGTATAACCGATCTAACTGGAAGCAGTACGGTGGTCCGCTACGTGATTACGCAGCAGAACTGAGACGCATGCTAGGTCAGTTGTCTACTCGGTTTCCCGCGGGGCCGCCGTTCGAAATGGAGCTTCGACGCAAGATCATCAAGCAGATTGATACTTCGCAGACCGAGATCAGGATGGTTGTAGATCAAGTTCAAAATCGTGCAGTCACGCATGCTGAAGGTTCCGTCGAGTTCCTCATCACTGAGCTTACCCGCCGTATGGTGCGCACTGCTGGAGATTCGGAAAAACAGTGCGAAACTTACGCTGCTCTGGACGATGAGCAGAAGCAGCAGCAAGCTGTCCAGCAAGCTTTTGTCACTGGCAAATCGTTCGGAAAAGGAAAAAGTACGTGGCAAGGCGGTAAGTCCAGTTCCAAGGGGGGCAAAGGTGGTTACAAGCAGCCGCAAGAGGAAAAGTTTTGCAAGAAGTGCTTTGATCACTACAAGTCAATCGGCAAACAGCATGAGAAAGCTGCAGCTATCCGCTCGCACAATGTGAAAGATTGCAATCAACCTTGGAAGACGCCGATGAAGGTCGCCAACCACAAGGGAAAGAACAAGTTCAACAAGAAAGGCGGAAAGCACGACAAAGGAAAAGGCGCGAAGAAGTCTGATCCTAAATACCAGCAGAATCAGTGACTAACTTCTTCTAATGATAGTAATTCTAGTAGTGAAAAAGAAGGAGTGAAGATGGATGTAGCCAAGAAAGTAAGTTGGTGGTCGAACTACGTCCCATCTTGGGTGAGTGACAGCACCCGGGGAGTTATAAAAGCTGGTATCAAACGGGAGCAACAATGCAAGCAAAGGATGAAGAAGATGAAGATGAAAATGAAGTCGAAGATGGATTTGAAGCCAGCATTTGAAGAAGTTGAAGATGGTTTTGAAGTGTTTTTACAAGGTCAGTTTTCCAATGGAGCGATCATCGACTCCGGGTCAAAGTTTCACATCTCTCGAATCGAGTCGGACTTCGACACACTCGAGGAAGAATCCAGAGTCAAGATTCAAGGCGTTGGTGGTATTGTTCCAGGTCGATTCGGCACCCTCAAGCCGAACGTGCTCGGAAGTCATTTAAAAGCGATTTTTGCCAAGGATTTACCCGTAGACCGACTGATAAGCGTCGGCGGTCTGAACTCAGCCGGATGGAGAGTAGTATTCGGAGCGGTTCCAGAAGGTTCTCACTTAGAGCACAAGTATCTTCGTGTGCCCCGGGTGAACTTGCAGAAATCCGCAGGAGGTTTGCCATATTTGCAAGATTTGTGCTTCGAAGAAAATAGTGCAAGTAGCTCGTTTGTAATCGACGAGTGCTATTCTGAGGATGAGCTTTTCTGTCCAGAAGTAGAGACTACAGATTGCGCCATCAATCAGCCTCCCATCGCAGCACTCTTAACGCGTAAACTGTCTGAACGAGAACGGTATCTCGAGCACCTTCGCAATTGCCATCTGTATGACGAGAGGCTCGGCAAAGTCGATTGCCCGCACTGCTCGATGCAAAAAGCGAAAGCTGTGAGTCACAAGAAGGAACGACCTGAAGAATTCCATAATCCGCCATTTTTGGTAACAGCGTGCGACTTCTTCGGTCCAGTAGAGCCAACTTCCATCAGAGGAGCGCGATTAGCTTTGATATTTGTTGACGACGCATCCAAGTACGCAGTTGGTCGAGGAATTTCTTCGAAGGATTTGGCTCCGAAAGTTCTGAAGGAGATCATAGAGGACCCTCGAACGAAGTTGGGCGCGAAAGGCACGAACATGACTCCAAGTGGGAAGATCATCGCTGCAGGTATCAGGTCGGATAACGAAAGCGTACTCCGTTCCACTGAGTGGCGATCGACAGCAAGCAAACTACAACTGAACGAGCTTCACAGTATTCCTTATAAGCCACAAGGCAACTCCGTCGTAGAGCGGTTAGTGGGGACACTAAAGTCGAACTTGCGAGCCAGCATGGCCGGCGTCGACTTACGATTGTGGTGTTGGTGCCTTGAGTACCTAATAATAATTTACAACATGATCCCCAGGGACATGAAGCGAATTCCACTGAAAATTTTCAGTGATGGAAGAAAGAAACGCTTGGCGCTTACTGGGGGCAACTCGAAGTCCAACGAGCAAAGCAACTCAGGGCGTCGGCGCGCGGTAAAAGCTAGTCCTCTGGAGATCCTCTTGAATTTTTCAGAGGACCCAATCACGATGATGAGATCTGCAGAAGGAAAACTGAAACACAGGCGCCGCTTCGGTTGTCTAGTGTTCTTCAAGGTCCACCCTACTCCTACGAAAGTCTTTGCAGACCGGCGCAAGCCAGGGGTGTTTTTGGGTTTCAGTTCGGTCAACTCCGCTTGGATAGTAGGAGGGATTGTTTCTGACGGCAGGACCAAGACGGGTTTTAAGTTCAACGTCTACGAAACGATCGACGTACAATTCCACGAGAATATATTGGTCGCTAAGATCGAGGACTTGCTCCAGGTTCCGGAGATTACTAAGTTGGAAGATGATTCGTCCGCTTGCATGCCGGAATATGATCCTTCTCGACCCTTGTCGCTGACGGGCGTGCTTGGTGAAAAGTTTGGCAGCTTGAAGGGTTCTAAGTACGAGTTAGTCATCTGGGAGCCTGAAACTAAAGGCTAGGAGCCTGTTACCGCGGGACAGATCGAGGCATGGGATCCAGTTAAAAAGGAACCGGCCCGATTTAAAAGAAGTAAGTCAACCACGACCGAGGAAAAAGCTCAAAATAAGTTCAGAAAAGTAGTGACATTTGGAGCAGTTACGAAGATAGCATACGATCCAGCAATAGCAGCAGACGATCAAGATCGTTCCGTACCACAAGAATCTAGTAGAGAGAAGTCTGTTCCGCAGTACATCCCTCCAGCACCTTCCTTAGCATCTAGTAGCGCGCAGAAGTCAGCTCCGCTAGAACGTTGTGACGCATACCAGACGGCGCCGATCACTATGCCGCAGCACAGGCTTAAGAAACCTCGGCGGAAGAAGAGCAAGAACACTTCCGCTACGTTAGCTACTGCTGTTTTCATTCTGGACCAGCTACAATTCGCAGCATCGTACGTGGCTACGCAAGAAGCTTGTCGTCAGCTAGAACAAGAAGAAGAAGAAGAAGAAGGCGAGTTTCTTGGTGCTGAGATTATGCTAGCCGCGCAGGATGAAGATGGTTTCATAGGATCGGTTCCGCCTAAAGTTGCCATGAATCCGCAAAGCCCTCACTGCCAGAAGTGGATAGAAGCGGATGACTTGGAAAGGACGAAGCTGGAAGCGTATCGCTGTTGGAGGAAACTAAGCGAGGACGAGGAAAAGGACTGGATGGAAGGACGCCTCAAGGCAACCCCGACGGCGATTCTGTACAACCGCAAACGGGACGGTAGATTCAAAGCTCGGCTAGTCGTTCTAGGTGACCGATGGGATCCTGGTGGCTATCAAGAGTTATACAGTCCGACGGTTTCGCAAGTTGGTAATCGTCTTGTTCTTATCGAAGCAGCACGTCGAGGATGGGACATCATTCCGTATGACGTCGGAAACGCATTCATTCGAGCTTCTATAGATCGCACAGTTCTAATATCTCTGCCGAAGCAGTGGCGTGATGGACAGGAAGACCATGGCGTTAGGAGTTTACTTCGGGCGCTTTATGGGTTACCGATGTCACCTCGCTTATGGCAGAAACAGTACGCCAAGGACCTACAGGAGATGGGATTCGGAGAGAGCCTACTCAATCCCGGCATTTGGACTATGCGAGATTCTTCTGGTGAACTCATTGCGATGCTGAGTGTTTACGTGGATGATTGCATTCTAGCCGCGAAGGACAAGGAGCTTACTAACGATTTGATCGATAAGCTACATGCTCTACACCCGTTATCCAAGATTAAAATGGATGAAGTTACCGATAAGGATGGCACTTGGCTTCACTTCGACATGCTTGGGGCAGACGTTTTCTACAATGCTCAAAAGAAGTCGGTGAAGATCACGATGGAGACTTACCTCAAGAAGATGCTCAAGACGTTCGGTATGGAGAATTGCAGCAGCTTACCGACTCCAGCCTTCGACGAAGCACTTCTTTACCAAGATTCGCCTCAGATCGAGTTCAACATTCGGCAGGTAACCGGCTCCCTACAATGGGCAGCTACGGTGGCCAGACCCGATTTAGCTCAAGTGACGAATTGTCTAGCGCGTGCGGCAAACCGTCCGCCAACCAAAGCAATCGTTGCAGCGTGTAAACGTGTACTACGATACGTTAAAGGATCTTTGGGCGAAGGATTAGTTTATAGTCCCCAACAAGAGCAGGAGTTCCAGAACCTTTTCAAGGACCTCTATCGCCATCCGGAAAATATTCAGATCAACGAAATGACTGAACAAGAGAAGAAGTTCGAGCCGAAGTCCTTTCACCCCATCCAGAGTTTTGGCGATGCAAGTTTTGCTTCTACGCTCGAATTCAAATCGGTTTCCGGTGTAGTCGTATACTACTATGGCTGTCCAGTTGTATGGAAGTCCACGGCCCAGACGGTACGAAGTGGATCTACGTGCGAGTCCGAAATTGTGGCCCAGTCGGACCTTCTCAAAGTCTCGGAAGACATCCATGCAATTCGCCGCTTTCTTCGAGGTGTACCCGAAACCGGAGAAGGAGACAAGGATAAAGGACCTTTGTACTGTGATAGTCGTAGTGCTATAATTAGCTTAAAGAAAACCAACCTTAGCGACGTACCTAAAAAGAGTAGACACGTAGCCCTACGCTACATGCAAGTGCGGGACGACGCACAGCGTCTTTGTTACGTTCCAACGGGCACGCAGAGGAGTGATGGCCTGACTAAGAGTTCGACCAATGGCCTGCTTTACAAAAACATCTTCCATGTTCAAAACATGAAGAGAGATGCTAACCTTCCTACTTATTGTTTTCTGGCCTATGCAATTCCATACTAGGAAGGCACGTCTTACATCTTCAATGTCATTCAAATCGCCTGCAACAAACTCCATCTTTTGCCAAGTTTAACATCTTCAACAACATCATCCGCGCTTGTATTATAACATTTTCCACTTTCTCAAAATTAAGTTTTGCTACATTTTCCTAGCTTAGTCCGTATTAGCTAACAGCAAGAAACACACAGTACGACAAGCCAAAAATAATTAATGAAGAAATAACTAAACAGCTAGAGCAAGAAAAGCAAGAAGCTACTACTGACAAACTAAAAAGTAAAACCACAAAAGTGAACTACTTAAACTTTACCTTAAGCCACTGGCTAAGTGTACTCACTCGACAAAGTGTAAAGTTTAGAGTATCTAGCCTTGGTAGGATTGTTTTCTTTCTTTCGTTTTCTGCTCGGTCGCTTCAGTTTGGTGGAGGGCGTTACCTCTAACCCGTTGCGCATCGTTCAGTTTGCGTTTGAAGGGGGGAATGTCGATCCCCAAATTATGAATCATCTCAAGCATGAGCATGAAGATCATCCTACCAGTACGGAAATCAACAACTTAAAGACTTACGAACATCATGATCAAGGAAACAACAGGAACAAGAAAATCATAACGACAGCAACACGAAGATCAACACCATCAGGATCAACAACATCATCAACATCAGCAACAAGATCAAAGTCTTAAGGTCTTAAACGTGTGCAGCAAGTAACAAGTTGATGAGTTAAATAGTTGGTCCGGATCTAGTTAGCTTAGGCAGATGAAAGGCACTAAGCCCCAGGGATCTTCGTACTTAAAAACAACAAAAACCAAATATTTTGTCTTCTCAAATTTATCCTGTGCTTGTGCAGATTAGCACTAGTTCACAGGACAGGGGCGACATCGCTGAGAATGATGAACTACATCATTCAAATCCGTAGCCATTGGGCTACTTTAAGGTTTATCTAATTTTGATGTTCTCCTGGCCGCAACAATATGCTGATCTTCTAATTGTTTTATCCCGGGGTATTTTCTGTTACCCAAGTTGCGTACGATGGATTTGCATGGACAAGTGAAAATTCTATGTCGTCATCATGAAAACCCTGCTTTTTGGCTAGATCTACAATTTTGCTGACAAGCGCACACTGTCCGCCGGGATCGGCGCTCCGTCGCAGGGCTGTCTTCAACCACGCAGACTGTTTTCCTACTTGCGCGCATGCTGCAATCCTCCTCTTCAAAACGGCTGTTCGCGCCAAAGTCTCTAGTACTTCTTCTTCTCTCTGCATGTGAGACGTCCGATCTTGGCGATCCGTGGGCTGCAACGAAACACGAACCTGCACAATCAGCGCAACTGATCGATCGAGCATAGTTGTGGTAGAATTTGTCTCGCGCCTCCTCTGGGTTTGCTCTACTTGACTATTTCCGCGTCTAGTCGGCGTCGCAGCGACTGCCTGGTCACGTTTCTCGACCAGTGTGATGTCGTCGGGAAGATGTGTCTTCGTATTCGTTTCTTTGGCGACATAATCAGCGCACGCTGCCTCAATATCACCAAGCGGTCTGCTGGGTTTTCTTGATGAGTGAGGAGCATCGGAAGTTCCATCACCGCCCTCATGCCAATCGAGCATCATCGGCGTGTCGTAAGGGTGCTTTTGCAACAGCTGATTGCGCAAATCGGTTGTGCTAGATATACCGCTTGTTCGAAACGTAACGCGCAACTCCTGTTCGCCCGCGAAGGCTTTTCCTTGCCACCAGTAGTAGCTGCGCACTTGCTCTCTTGACACTCGCTCAATTCCTGCTCGTCCTTTCGAAAGTGCCTCGGCTTCGGCCTCGGAACTCACGGTCGTTGCAACGAAGTAAGCAGCACTGGAAGGATATTTTGGGACTGGCAAAGGCTTTTCGCTGTCTGATCCGGGCACGAGGAAGGACTCTTGGTCCACCTCAGACTTCGAGTTTCGCTCGCCTAGCACTGCTGAGAAGCGGCTCGCCGGGCAGACAAGAAAAAATAGGCGAGAGAAAAACATCGTCCCGGCTGGAAACAGAAGTCTCAGGACCGCATTTTGGAGCATGCTCCTCTTTTCACAAAGTTAGTTACCTGATCATCCTCTTCAAGAAATTTTGCTCTATGCATACTTAGTTGCCATGAACATGATCTATATTATGTTGGTGGTATCAAAAGTAACCTTTAAGATCAAAATATGATTACAAAAGCAAGCCTCTACAGTTCAGCGAAAGACGCAGGTTTCTCTTCACACCTTGCTGTTGCAGTAGTACAAATATCAAAAAGACCCTCCTCGTCTGCTGATGCTCCTTTCGCGGACAGATAATTTCGTGCTCTGCATGTTTAGTACTGCCACAACAAGGCTGCACAGCACCTGACATTTCACGCTCAGCTTCCCTCGATTGCTTTTTTTCATGTACTTACAACTCAATTAATAGGTGACATACACACTCAAATCCTTACTGTCTGAGATTCTTTTCTAGCCGCTTCCCAATATTCATTCGCTCGATACTGGTGTTCGCAACCACAAGGATTGCGAATATTACTGGTCTTCAAACGCACCAGGGAAGTTCTTGATCCAGTTGCCTCTCATGGTCCGATATTTAACAGACTTCACGTACTCACCGACTCCTACAAGCGCTTCAAAGGGATGGAGCATTGCTCCGTTTCTTCGTTCTTTCGAACGCCAGGAAAGCTCATGGGCTTACAAGACGATTCGTCAAATGACAGAAAGTACCAGTTGAATTATAGAGTAGGTTGATGAGTTTTGGAATCGGAAAGGGACGTCAAGATAAGGGGTGACTTATTTGGTCGATGTCTCTATAGGAATGCCATCGAACGGCCAGCAAGAGTTTTTACAAGTGTTTTCCTGTGAAGGGGAATCAGAGTTCTGCTGATCACTGTTGCGGGTTTCTACCACATTGCGTATGAGCACCGGGCTCACGCTCTAACTTCGTTTTCGTGGAAAAAGAAACTTCAATTATAGATACGTGTTTTGTGGAACAGAAAATGAAAGAGCTATAGATCGGAAATTTTAAGAAAGCAGGAATAAAGAACATATCACATCATTCATGAAAAAAAACACCGCTACCAGTTTGCTGCTGTGAGTGAATGACTTCAGGCGATGCGATTGATAGCACAAGACAATGAACGACTCCGCATTCCCTGGTAGGGAATGCAACTCCTGTAGCTTCAATTGAACAGACCTGTGTACTCGTTGATGCTCCCTACACTGTTGAGGTAACGATCTGAGCCGCCCGCGTTCCATTTGAAACGCTCACTCCGATCAAAATCGATGTGGCACGTGTGCTGACACCCTAAGTCGACTATGAAGTCATGCCATTGTCCGGGCTTTATCCACGAAGGTATGTTGGTGTTTTCGGACACTCGATCGCCTGGATCTGCAGTGCGAAGCGACGAGTTGGTCAGACTGAAGCTGCGCACCACATCACCTGGGCAGATGTCAATGCGAAGTTCGAGCGTCCTCGTATCTAACCACAACCTTCGTTTTGCACCCTGTCGCCTTGTCAATCACCAGCTCCAACTCCTGCTCCCCAGAGCGAGGTGGGCGTCGCTGCCTGTGCTCACGAGGTAGATCCAATTTCTCAAATATTTGCTCCAGCCAATCCTGAAGTACAATCCGTGGGTCCCGCGCAACCTGGAACCACTGCTCCTAACGATTAGAAATAAGCTCAAAGCTATCTTTCCTTGAGATGCTAGCTCGGTTGGAAAGTGAGTGAGTCTGTCGGAAGTGGTGCCCTACATACTAATTTCTACCTGTAGAAGGAATTGGATAGACAAGAATAACCCAATCAGCAAAGCGAGGATGGCATAACAGTGGAGGGACGCATCGGCAATGGAACAAGAAGGCGCGACCTGCAGCTATCGAACGCAGCGTCTTGTTGATGCGCCTGACCAGCGGTGGACGAAGGAAGGTGCTTGCAGTGCTTTAGGTCACGGAGAAACAGCATCAAGGTATACCGTGCGTAGAAATTACGAAGGCTTTTATTCGCTCCCGGGTGCGCGACGGAATCGCAGAACGGAGCCCGAGAGCGACGTGAGACTAGTGCGAAACTACTAAAAGACTCGAAAACGTCTAAATTTCCCAAAATCTCGACCAGAATCTCAACAGGCAAATCCAGGATAGCTGCTTCTCGCGGATTAGCGCCCACAAAGGAGCGCGCCGCGCGATCTCCATCTCGCTTTTCGCCTTCTGCTGTCGCAATCAAAAGCACCGAAAAGCTCGATAAGTGCCCTGTCCACGAACCGACGTCTGCAAGTCCAGCTGTTTGAGAAGTAGGCTCCTCCTGGCCGCGCCGCCTCGATAGCCATTTCCTAATGAAGCGCTGCAACCGAATCAGCAGAGGCGTTGGCCCGGTCCATTGGTCCGCCGGAGACACACGACCTCGCCGCCAAAAACTATTCGCGAAAGCAAGCAGCCTATAAGTACTACTTCTCTGAAACACCGCATCTGCGCCAGCAACTCCCGCCCCACTAGCCAGCCACGTTACAATGGTGCGCGGCACCGTCTTCACAGTAAGTGCGCTACTCTAGACAACACGAAGGCACATCCAGTTTCCTCGATGAAGTCTAACGCCACCTACTTCAATCTCCGTGTCTGCCGCGTCGCCCACGCTGTATAGCGTCGAATTTGCTGCATCGAAAACGCGCCAACGCAAAAAACAGACCGCAAACTTCAACTCCTCTTCGTATGTTTCGCTGACGAAGTAAACATGATCCGTATCATGTAAAACTCGTATTCTTTCGCGTGTGCTGTTCTCGCAGCCCTGAAACGCAGAGAGAAAATTCATTTCGTATTGGCGCCGAGGCATGCCCGGATCTGCAAGACATTGCGCGAAGTCAGCGATAGAGACGTACCCACGTTCCAAAACGTACGGAAGCAAAAGGTCTGCGATTAAAACGTCATACTCGGCTGCTCCACGGAGTAGGCCTTCGAATTCCACGATGCTAAGTCGCTCCATATTATTCGAGCTTGTCGACAAAATAGGGTCAAGAACAAGTCTCGGATTTACAAAATAGTGTTGGTTACTAACGAAAAAATCAATTGGCAATTATCTGAATAACAAAACAGCTTCCTTTGTACAAGTCGATTGTTTCGCTATATGCTCTTGCGCCATAGTAGTGAATAGTCCACAGCAGTTGAAGACAAATTACGAAGCGACAGGACAGCACGGATGCTACGAGAAATCGATTTATCCAATATATCTATAGTCTTTCACTCTTCGTTGCTAGTTTTGACGACGATTCGCGACAAAGTTAGCTCCACCTCCTCCGGTTAGGCTTCGCTGAAGGGCGGCGAGTAGCAGTGGTTGCATTATCTCACTATAAACAGTACTATGGGCATCGCTTTCTCTCACGAAGTCCTGCGAACAGGAGATCATCTTCACGTGGCGTCTTCAACCTGCACATCCAGTCAGACGTGACTCCCAATTGGATCACCTTTCTTTTCCTGTCATCATGCTGCCATCTTGATAACATCAAGATGAAATTTCGGTGCGTCACAGTTGCTTGAATCTAGAAGAACTTCACAGTCCTAATCACAGTTCTGGAAACGTTTTGCGCCACTCTGCTAGACTATCGTCTGGCAAAAAGCGAATGCAGAAATCTATGTGCGTCTTACTCAGATATTTCAAGGTTTGTATCAAGTGTGCTCCAAAGTCACGCTTTGACAATGCCCCCACCTCTATAGCACCATTTCTCTCCCTAAATTCAGCCTGAGCGTTCTTCTTCTTACTTTCATCTTCGGCATGATTCTTGTCCTTTGATGTGGAGCTTTTTTCATCCTGTATAGTGCACGCCCAGTGTCCTTCTGGTAATACAGTCCTCTCCGACGAACACGCGGTACCAGAATCGTCAGAGGAATCGCCGGAATTGAGGACCGCAGAATGTAATACTCCCACTAGTTCCTCAAACATATCTGGATCCAACTGATGCAAAACCAAGTAATTCGCATCCTCTTCTCCCAACTTCCGGAGTATTAGACTTTGCCCACCCTTACACAATGTTCAACAATCGTTTCTGATCGAGTACTTACATGAGATTATAGTGTGGTGGTCATCACGCTAGCAAGAGTACGCAAGTATGTCCGCGTTTACTAAAATTTGAGATACTATGCAACAGGCCTCTAGTACTCGCAAAGCTACATCGCACAACTGAAGTTGGATCTATTGAAACCTTAATAGCAGCTGCAATTTCGCCTCTGCTGATTTCCCGGCTCGGTGCCAAGCTGTCGAGAATTCTGACCGCGAAGTCGCCTTTGGCGCTTTGCTGCTGCCACCTCGTGTCGATCGAAGTGGGGTTGGCTCAGGCGCAGCGCCTCCGCCGATGCTACCTTGTTATTAATGCATTTACGAGCATGTTTATGTCGTGCGTAGAGAAATGCGAATCCTCTTTACATCTGGTAATTTTCCAGTGGAGACAAAAAATTCAATTCGATTTCGATAACAAGTCCAGTAGATATATAATAGAATGAAAAGGTAACTGGATCATACCATCGCCCACTCGACTGGCTTTGCTATACTTGTTGTGGTCCAATGTTTTTGGAGGCGCATGAAAATCGCGTTTATTAATGGGCTTCAAGGTACAACCGGCAACAAGTTGTTCGAAGGCATGATATGTTGGCGCCTGATGTATCGCCCTCTTTTTCGCACTATCAACTGTGTCACGCTTCCAGTCCTCGTAAACACCTTTGAATGGTTGAGTTTAAACTTCCGTATAGGAAATTCAAGTTCAGAGAGAGTGCAGCACGATAAAATGGAAATAAAGCTCTTTGTCGTACTTAAACGAAGCGCTGATTAGAGGTAGTACCTTCGGCCACTTCCTGCTTAAATTGGTTAAAATTCGCCGGATTGAACACCGTTAGTTTTTCTTCCTTGATAATCGGCATTGTCCATCAGTTGATGACCTTAGTCGCCTCCGATTTGACTTTCGAGGACTTCCGTTCCGTCTCAAAATTTCTAGCGTCAGCGCTGCGCAAATAGCATCGACCAAAGATGAACGAATCGATTCTTTTCGAGTCTTGAAGCGGACAAACAGCTAGAACCGGACAAAACCCATGCGCTTTCTGAGTGCGTCTTTTTCGTTCCAAAGCCGCTGCGATCAAAGCTCCATGTTGCTGCTTCAACAATTCTACTTCAAGACCACGCCCTCAAAAAAAAATCAGGCGGCCAAAAAGAGTTTCGGTTACACTTCATGCGCACTGAAAAAAGCTGTCTACCTTTCCCTTTTCGGGAGGCTTGTCCTTGTTAGTCCTACCTACGTCAACCATAGATTTTCATGTTTTCGAGGGACTTTTTCCTGCGATGCCCGTTCTGGCCTTTTATTTTACGGTGCCTGTATGCTAGTGCTACAAGCGCAATACTAAAGCAGACAGAACTGCTCGAGCGATAAATGCACCAACACTCTTACCGTTTTCCTACACGCCGTTGGTGCCAGAACGGCAGTGCGCATTTGGCAGAAATAACGGGTGCATATGGATACTCCACTTCTGTGGGCTCAAGATCAAAAAGGAGTTCAAATGTCGATCCAACGACAAGCATCACGTTTGTTCCCATAAGCATCGTCCCCTCATGCTCAGCGAGTATTCTCACAACAAGGAATCAATCAGACACCCTACTTCTATCGAGTAATATCATCGAAATGATTTTCGGATGGTAGGATACAAAAGTTTGAATCCAGTTTACGCGGCACCCTCTAATGCGTGACTAACTACTGAAATATCTGAGGACTTATCATTAGATTCAAGAACAAAGTTCAATCGTATTCAAACATTCCAGGTTACATTTAGCGCAAGATTATTTACAATTGACAAAAACTGACAAGAAATCCCAACTGGGGTCTCGATAAAATGATTATATAACATCAATTTCAAGTATTCAGACGAAATAGTAATTTCAGAAAAACGAAGTAGTACTAGAATGTGTAAAGATATAACTGCAGATGCTAAGTATTCCTGAGCGTTATGCGCATCTAGTAACAAGTTTCCTGGATCTACTCGTGATTCTACTCCCACGTTGCGGATTTTAGGCCTCTCCCTCGCTGATCATAATCTCACCTTCGCTCAGCGCACAACTTTGTAAAATCGCCTCATCGCGCTTTCTATTCTCTACTACATGATCATCCTCATCCATAGGCGCGTGTTCATCATTGTCGTTCTCAGCGTTCGGGCCATTCTCCTCCTCCTCTTCGTCTGCACTAGAATCGTCCTTGCTCGATGAGAGCTCGCTGTCATCGAACGAGTATCGTTTTTCGTAATTTGGCCGCGGACGCAGTGCGGAAACATCATACATAACGGGCGTGGATGCGGTCTCGTCACCATACCTATTCGTCAGAGGCATGGTTGTAGGAGACAGTAGAAACAATCACAACAAAAAAGCAAAAGCAGAAGGATATCACTTTACAGTCAGTCTTTGAACTCGGACGCAGACAAATTGAGGTGTTGACACTCTAATATATAGCAATTTCGTGAACGTGATCGTCGCTTTTTCAATCAAAAAATGTAAGTACAACAGTAGTTCTGCGAGCTTTCTCGTTTGCTGTTGGTCTTTTCTCTTGGTTGTCAATTGCTCGTCCAGTTTCTGCTGCATCTGTGCTGCTGCTGTGGTCATCTGGCCTTGCAGAGTCTCAGCCAGCCGCTGTGTTTCTTGCACAAGGCGTTCATCCAGTTTTTCGGAGACAATATTGGCGTTCTTTTCAATCTGAGATTGCAATTCGGATTTTAGAACATGGCCTTCGGCTTTTGCTGCTACCAACAGTGCCCTCTCTCGCTGCTCCAGCGCATTCCACAACTCGCGCTGCCGCTGGTCTAACGTGCCCTGCATTTTCTTCTCGAGCTGCTTCCAAGAGATTGAGGACGCGGCAAGGCTAATTCTATCTTCCCTGCGACCAGCCGCCTCAAGTACATGATAAGCATCGCGTTCTTGTTCACCACTAGGAAAAACCTGTTGTTGTTCCTCAACAACACTGACCTGTTTTTTCGAAGACTTGGTCAATGAACTTGATCTTGTATTCTCGCTTCCACGAGAGGATACTTTGCCCCGTTGAGAGAGCCGGCTCCGCGACTTCAGTCGAGAGCTGGAGGACCGCACTACCCCGCCAGCCGAAACTTTCGAGGATGACAAATAATCCGTCGATATCTCCATTGAAGACCTCTTTCCATTCGTCACGAGGATGTCTTCCGAAACCTCTCCATCATCTGCGTCTTGTTGCACGTCTGGAGCGGCAGCAATTGGTGGCGAAGGCGAGTCAGCACACGATGAGGTCTCTTTGCGTTTCCCTGATTTTCCGATCTTGCTTGATCCCTTCATCTTGTTCGCAGAGGACGCAGATTTGCTCTTCCCTATTTTCGCAGATGATGAGGTCCGTTTGACTCTGATTTCCGCTTTGGTTTCACTTCTCACAGCATCGTGCACTTTCTCCACTTCGTTCTCTTCTCCCTCGACTTCCATCTTCTCCGTCTGTTTCTCGCTACTAATTAACTCTTGTAGGATTTCCCGGAAAAATGCTGGCGGTACATCTTGTCCCTGAGTTGCTTGCACAAGTACATTTTGATTTTTGTAAGTGGCTCCCCCAGAAGCAGCATTCACGACACCCTGAAGCGTTTGTTGTTGCTGAGACGAAACTCCTAGTCCTACCCGTTGATTGTGCGCCAATTGTTGCGCATCGATTTGGCGCAAGATTTCCTCTGCGGACTGCTGTGCACCTGCATTTTCGGCCGCCTGCAGACATTCGAGAAGTTGCAGTTCTGTGATGTAGACACCGCGTGCGGCACCCTCTGAGGTAGTCACGCCAGGAACTACTACTGGAGACGACGACACCCCGCCATGAGGTTCAAGCAGAATCGGCGACGGTAGCTTCACAGCTGAAGTTTGTTTGGATTCAAACCAAAGACTACAACTTTCAAAAAAATGTATGATGAAAAAGATTGAGTACTAGTAGGTGCATGAATCCTATCTTATTACACAACAGATGATGTTCAACAGATGAGAGGAAATGGAAGTACTATCGTGTTAAAAATAAGAAGTGATGTTGAAGAGGCCCAACAAATCAATTATGACTACTCGTTCCCCCTGCTTTCGTCAAGCCACTATTTGCGAGAACAACTCCCGTTTCAGCGACGTTTCGTCCATCTGCGCCGCCCGTCGGATAGACTGGACTCGATCGTAATCGTGCTGCTGACTCCAGGTTCTGCACGGTATTCTTCTGCACGGCATTGTTCTGCAGACCGCCACTGCCAGATTGGAGTAAGCTTCGCGGCGAACACGGAAGAATGGTGTCAGGCGATTGCGGAGTACGCAGAACCGGATAACCGGGAACTTCAAAGTAATGGTTTAAGGCTTGTGCATCCACTGCCTGACACAGAGGTGGCGGAATAGATCGCTGGAGTTGCTCCACCGTCTGGTGGCCACCACGTGTACTACTGCCAAGATACTGGGTGTCTACGGAAGTACTTGGCTGCCGCAACTCTCGGTATTCGGTCGCAGTCTTGAGCATTTCGCGCGCCTCAGACACGTCTACATCTTCGATTTTATACTTTTTTTTTAATCTGTCTGCAAGTCGGTCGTACTCCCGTTCCTTCTGCAACACCAGCATCTCCTCTGGCGAACCAACGCGCTCGTGCGACAAGCCTCCATGAACGCTGGGATGCGTCTCGGTACTGCGCAAAAGGTGATGCTGTCCTCCTCCTCCGGAGGAGCCCATGACGTGCAGTGCCGTAGCATCACTGCGATGGGTCGGAAGTTGTGAGGAAGCTGCGCTGGAACTAAGCGGCCAGTTTATCGTCGTAGCGAAAGGTCCGGATGACGGTCCGCCTAGTGGGTTCCTTCCACTGCCTAACATCGGCGGCTGCCTTGGCGAGGGTGATCCCGAAGCCTTCGAATTCGAGCTGGATCCGGGCGGAGACGAAAAATAATATCTTGGCGACACAGCTCCATTAACCTGTAGTCCCGGGTGGTCAGCTCCAGAGCTATTTCCAAGTCCACCAACATTGGACTTTAGAGCTTCCTTTGCCGCATCCAGGGGACCGCATGATGGCGAACGCTGTTCCTTTTTCTTAGGCGAAGCTGACGAAGCGCCGCAATAGAGCTGGCGAACAGGTGAAGCTGTAGTTTTAGTGCGCGGAGAGCTGCTTTTTCGACGATTTGGAGACGCCTGCAACTTTGTAGCCCATGCGCCGTCTCCAGTGGCATTCCATGCTGGGTTCAGGAGATGCAATTGCGTATGCAGAGTTTTGTTTGCAGTTTGACCCGCAGCACTCATGCTGATTTAGAAGTGATGGGAAAAAACTGGAGCTAGTGACCGATACATCAATAGAACCCGCCAGTTTAAGATAAGTAGGCTAGGTACAAATGACTTCTTGCCTTTCGTTTCGGAGAGAGATGGCTTTTAATGGTAAAATCACATGTTGAAGTGTTCTGCCATGGCTACACACGATGTCATAACTTTGGTCATCCCCAATTACGCCCTTCAGCTTCGACATCGTCCCTCCAAGTACCGCGTCGCTCAGCTGCTCCCCGTTGTCGGCTAACCGCTCGCCCATTTTCTCAAACGCTAGACCGTTGCTTCGCTTCGCTTCTGCGTTGGCGTCCAGCACTACCTGGAGAGCTTCCTGCGCGCGTTTCGCCTCCGTCCGCAGTACTACGAGCTCCTCTTCACGCTTCGCGTTCTCGACAGCCTCCCGCTCTTGGACTAGACGCGCCATGGCCGCAGCCTCTTCGGCTTCCTCGATCAGCTCGTGCTTCTCGTTTTCAGACATCTGGAGTAGTCGACGTGTGTCTGGATCGATGATGCCTTCGCGCCGGAGGTCCGGATCAAAGCTGAAAGGCACTGGCTTCGTCACCTTCTACAGTATGAAGAACAACAAAAAGTTGATAGTTGGGAGTGAAAGTTCAAACCTTCTTCTATCAGTGACTATTATTAATTTAGTAGGAAAAATCAAAGGTATGGGTACGTTGGAGCATATGTATCTCAGTAGATCCTAAACAGTGACGCGGTATCTGGAAATGGATCCTAGTAGATACTACATGGTTAAGCATTGTACTAGGCATAACTTTGAATTTGATATGCGCTTCCGTCTGTGAGATTTCTCGAATCTGCGCACTGGACATGCCGGCAACCTGCAGACGTTTTTGCAGCTTTCGTTGCTTCCCGAGTTCCTTTATCAGGCTGTCGCGACGGGCCTCCGCGCTAGCAGGACTTAGCTGCCCGGTGACCTTGTTCCGCACAAGCGCGCCGCTCGGCGACGCCTCAGCGTATCCCGCAAGCCGATCTAGCTCCGCCAGCTCGTTTTCCTTTCTTTTTCTTTCGTCGGCAGCTTTTTGGGCTTCTGTTTTGACGAGCTCGGACTTTCCAGCAGCAATTAAATGCGCAGGACGCACCGTGCTCATCGTCACCCCACCGCCGGGCTGCGTGAGCGCGTTTCTGTTCCTGTGAACCGGGAAAGCCGATGTTGCGCTCGACAGCTTACTGCCAGCGCCGTCCCTACTCCTTGCTGTGCCACCCACCGTCGAAGCCGCAGATGAAGCGCCCGTGTAGTTCTTTGCGTAGTCCGGGAGATCGATTCCTGACTGGAATTTTGCCGCAGACGACGCGCCGCTCCGTACAACTGGACCCGCCGTCTGCTTGCTGGGACGCTGCGACACAATACCGAAGGTGTCCTTGCTCCCAGACACCGGTCGTGGTGTGCAGAAAGCACTAGTAGAGGCGTTGCTCGAGGCGCTTCCCCCATAACTGGTCCGTCCCATACCCTCTACAACCGTTTCTACACGCTTTTTCTTCTCGTTGTACGCCAATTTGTGATTGGCACTGCGCTGTGTGCCTCCGTCGTCGGCATTCCACTTCGGGAGCTCCCTTGTGCTCAACTGCGTTAGCTCGGCTTTTATATCCTGATAAAATGCCAGAGAGTCCGCACTTACCGGCTGGCTCCGCCCATCGCTTGTGGTCGCAAACGGAGCGCGTGCATCGGACACGCCTCTGGTCTGACCCAGGCCTCCACCTCCTGCCTCGTTTGTTGCACTCGTTAGCGAAGATGACAATTGAGCACCAGTGGTAATATTTCCACGTGGCTTCACACCCATTCCAGGTTCTCTTCTTACAATCGGCATCTGTGACTGGCCTGAATTGCGCGCCAGGATGCCGCTACTCGCAAGTTTACCGTCGCCGGACAAGGGACCGAAAGTCTTGGACGTTGAGTCTGCCAACAGCGTTCCACCGGTTGACGACCCAGTAGGACTGCCTTGTAAAGGCCTCGTAGCGACTGCTCCACTGGCATCTGCCGCTTCGCGTTTCGGAAATAGCCGCTCTGCCATGCGATCGAAGACTGTCGGTCCTATGATGTCCGAAGTCGTCAACGGCTTCGGAGGCCTTTGTGCTTCCGCTATTGTAGCACTAGGAGTCGTTCTTTGCTCCACCGCTTTTCTCGCAAATTGGCTACTGCCATCAGCTGGCGTACGATCAGCAGGCGGCGCGGATTTGATCCGACTGGCAGTGGGAATCTGCGATGGCTTTAACTGCCTCTGCGTCTGCTGGCCTTGCTCTTTGTTCGAATCCTCGACGCTTTTGCTCGCTCTATTGTGTTCCTGTTGTTCAGCAGCGAGTTTCTTTCTGGCAGTTAGGCTTTTCATGCTCCCCCCAACGACCTTGTTGCCGGATGTTGACCCAGAGAGTTTTCCAGTTCCAGAAGCGCCACTGATCTTCGAATGGGAGTTGCCTCCTCCCTTAGCCGCAAAAATTGGCTTCGCATTACGTCCCGCCGGAACTTCCGGCACCGTTTTTGCCCGGCCACTAGTGCGCTCTGCCTTTGCTGCACTCACCATCGCTAGCACGTCTTGCACCTCCGCTTCGACCCGGGAAAGCTCCGTTGCAACGTTGCGTTCGCGTTGCGCATCTAGCTGCTGCACTAGCTGCTCGATCCCCGCTGCACTATGCTGCACCTGCGCTGCTAACTCTCGCTTACTCTGCTCCAACTCGGCGCGCACTTCGTCCTGGACCGTGCGCAGCGACTCCGCAGAAGGCATGGGGAGCTGCTCTCCGCCAGCCGAGGCCATGGCGCGGGCGACCTGAAATAGTGGTGGCGCATCAAAAGGTAGAAGATATTGTTTAGAAAAGGGTAGGCAGCGGACTAAGTTGTATATTAGGCAACTCAAGAAATGTGAACAAAGTAATAAATTCAAGATAACTGTCTGATACCTTTTCTTGCGCAAGAAAAAGAGAAAACCAAAAGAGAAAACCCGACCTCCAGATTTCCTCTAACAAAAAAAGCGTCTATCAAGTCCATGTACCTCTTGCAGTGTATCCGTGAGTCGTTTCTGTTGGTGATTCTGCATGTTGATCTGATTTTCCAAGAGTCTGGCCTGCCTCTCCATATAAGTTCTGGTCCACAACTCCTCAAAAACCTTGTTTTCTTTACCGAAAGCCATCGCCTCACGCTCGAAAGCTGTCCGGCATGATTTTGAATTTGACTGAGCAGGATTCAACATGCAAAATCATTAGTGTTGTGCCAATGTATTGAAGTTGTTAGAGCAAGTGGCTCGGTTAGGTTAGGCTAGGTTAGGTCACTTATGTACAACAACTTATCAAGAACGTCGACATCATTTTTCCATATGGCATCAATATTCTTGTGACCAAGAAGATGAGCACCTTCTTCCGGCTCCAGCTCTTGTGCCATTTTCTCCCTCGTCTGGTCTTCGTCATCGAACTTTGAGACTAAGACGTCCGTATCCTTGGATACCATGCATCCTTGTCCGCTGGCTTGAATAGGAACCGCCTCTGGAGGCAATTCCTCCATGTCTTCACGATTAAAACGCAACATGTCTTCAATTTCTATGTTTACTTTCTCTACCTGCTCCTTGTTTTCCGCTTCGGGCCTCGTGAAACTACGATTGGACGAGCATCTCAAAGTCACTCGAATCGCTATGCCCTAATCGTTCATCCGTTTCATTGTCTAAAGGAACATAATTAACAGTTTTTTGAATAGTACTTGGAAAATTTTGTATGACACAAGTGAAGACCAGGTCTGAAATGGAGAGAGGTCTTCTTTTGGCCGTGCTCCAGACCCTACTACCGCTTTGCTCCTTTTGACTGTCTATCATTTTCGCTCACCTCGTGCGGACAATGTAATTTTCATACACAGTCTTTTTGCTAGCGTGACCAATACTAAATCTGCTCGGAGGACCTGCCAAGAAGGAACACTGCGCGTGGTATATAGTAATACCGTACAGCCCCAACTCCTCGTCCACGGTGATGTGGGACTGCATTCTTCTTGTGTTACTATTTGTGCTTGCAAAATCTAAATATGGGACGCCCTAGTCCGAAGTAAAGCGGGTAACAAGTCAGGTGACTCTTTCTTTGGCGCAAGGGAGTAGTACCTGGGATTCTTCCAAGCTTGGAATCCGTGACAAATCCGAGATTTAACAAGCCTTACAGCACAAGGAGATGCGCGTCGCTACTTTTGTAAAAATACTGTTCTTCTTCTTGGAGACAAAGGTGCGATGGAAATTCTATGTGATGTAAACCTTTGCTACAATTCCTCTAGCGTGCTGCATAAGACATGTACTAAGACCAACGTAGCTCTCGACGATTTAAATTTTAGGAAAACGAATTTATCATATGAAAAAACACCATCTTCGTGTTGTTGGCTGACAACAACTTCCACCTCGATAATAGTACGTAAACCAACTTTCAGCTAAACGTAAGAGCGAAGAAAGTTTCCTTGAATAGCAATAGGCGCTTTCACCAGAATGCGCCATCGACTCTAGAAGGTCAAACTTACATACTTTTGACCAACTACAAGAAACGACGTAAAATTCTAGAAAAGAGGGGTGTGAAAAAGGTCCGTTAGTGTACTTCAATTTCGACAAGTTAGATGCGGCGCTACTTCTTGTTCTTCGATTTTGTATTCCGTTTTGCTTTTTTACTGCTCGCTCGCCCTTGCGCGTCTTCCTGCGAAGCGGTTTCGCTTGCCCGACCCGCAATTTCGCTTGATCGGCTCGAGGCAACCCCTTCTGAAGCTGCCAAGCTGACCCTTGCCATCGCACTCTCGGCCTCCTCTCCTTTTACGGGTGCCGGTATTATTTCGTCCACCGCTTCTGTGGTCTCGGACGCTTCATGGACGACCTGTGCTGGACCTGCAACTTCCGATGATCTTCCGCTCACGCTTTTTCCTGCTGAAGCTGAGGTAGGCATTGGCGGTTGTAGTTCGTAGGTAGCGCTCGGCCGTGCACTAGAGCTAGAGATACGCGCGGATGCCTGTTGCTGTGTCTCGACAGCGGAAAGATCGACAGACACGCGACTTGTTCTACCGTGCTTGACACTACTCCGTCTGCGCTGCAGCATCTCCGCTTCTGTTGAGCCACGTCCTCGGTCCTCATTCTCATCGGATGAAGACGAACTCGGTGGTATCACAGTGGCGACGTCGCCCACAGACCTGCGTGCTGTTCCGCTCGCAGGAACGGATTGTCGCGCAGGAGCTGGACTACCGGAGTCTGGCACTGGCTCCTCTGCCTCCTCCTCATCTGGTGGCGGCGCAGATGGTATCACCAGGCTATCAACGTCCGCTGACGGGAGTGCTTGCGACAATCCTACTACCGGTTCAGTAGGTCTAGGTTTTGCTTCGTTCGCAGTCGCTTGCGCACTAGGTGGAGGCGCAACGGCTTCGACGTCCTCCTGCGGTTTTTGTTCTACAACACGTGCCGACCTGCCAGAAGCTCTCCCTTCTGTAACGGAACTACGTGCTGTAGTTTCAACTGCGAGCTCTCCGCCGCTCTGTGAAGAACGCGTCTGCCCTTCTTCTGTCACACTAATGCGAGCGGCAGCACTCAATCGACGAGCTTCGTTCTGCAGCTCTATTGAGGGTGCTGCCTCTCCCGACTCGTCTCTGCTAGGAGGAGATTTCTCCAGAAAATTGCTCAATCTGGCTGTCGTCACTCTGCTGCTACATGCTTCCGCTGTATCAAAGATGTCGAGGCCACCGCCACCGCCGCTACTACTACTCGGTGTACTATTTTCTGTCGTCGCTGCAGCTCCTTTACTTTCGCTGGCAGGCCCATCGATGCCGTAGTACTCATCTAGTACTCGCAATCGCACGGTCCCACCTGTATCTGGGGCGATGCTCTCAGTTCCAGCTCCTACGTCCTCATTTCCAGAAGCAGAACTATCGCCAGCTGGACCTAGGATTTTCACTCGTGTGTCTTCCATCCGGAAAGTGGACTTCACGCCGTTAAACGGCACTTGCAGCAGCGTCCCCGACAGACCCCCAGATGAGGATGACTCGCTTCCTCCTCCTGTGAAGACGCCTCTAGGAGTTGCTAATACTCTTGCCCCCCTCGTTGATGACCCAGACATGGCTACTCCAGGCACGCGCAAGCGCGCAGAGCGAGGCCCTTGCTGCTCCGTGTCGGTTTCACGGCTGTAATGCCGCACTATCTGTCCTATCTCCGCGTCGATCATCAGACCGGGTGAAGACAGTGCCCGCAAAGACGTCATTGGGCTCATGTCGTGAGCGCGGCCCGCAGCATATGGAGGTCCTCCTCCGGGTTGTTGCTGGGGTGGAACGAGGTGCTGTCCTCCTCGACCTCGATTTTGAATGCTTACGTGCTTCTCGAATTCGCTGGACGAGGGTGTGGAACCGCCGCTACTTGGCAGTGTACTCTCGGACTCGCCGCGCAAGCGTGGGTCGTGGCCTTTAGACGTACTACCCGATACACCCCGCGCAAACCTCGCGACACTACCTGCCGTCGTCGTGCTCGCGAAGGAGCCCGCATCGGAGTCCTTTCCGGCCACAATCACTATCGACAGATCCGCCTCCGAACCGGCTGTTCTGCCATCAAGCGCAACACCACTAACAAATTCTTCGCGATTCTGCGACGAAGAGGACGAGGCCTGCGCTTCCTGGAGAAGGGACGCCATGCTACTTGACGGCGCCTCTTGTCTAGTGCCAGCACCTAGTCCGTCACTAGTTGCCCCAGCGCCTCCAGATGCCCCTAGCTGCTCCTTCCTCCTGACTACTATTCGCACATGGCACAAGCCTGCGAGGCCTACCACGGCACAAGCCGTGAAAACCAGCTGGGGCCAGCAGTATCCGCCCGTTGCGTCCACCAATTTTCCATACATGATATTGCCGAAAAAAAGCCACAACGACTGCTGCATGTAACAAGCCCCCACGTGAATGACTTCGTGCTCCTTTTTGTCGACCACGTGCTGCACTAAAGTCCACAAGGGCACGATGCAGCAGCCGAAGCCGATCCCCAACGAAATGCAGCAGACCCATGGCGGGACATTGTTCAAAAACGCTAGTACGGAAGCCGCATGGTGACCGTGGTCGTCTGGATGCGTGTCGTACTCAACCAAATATGCCTTCGCTGTGATCACCGCATGCGAAAACGTGATCAGGAAGAAGCCAAAGGTCGCACACATAATTAGAGCAAGAGCTCCAAACGATCATATTGATCAACTTTACATTTCTTGTTAGGTTCATAATTTTTTCAGCATCTATTCCGAGAAGAAAGCAGAAGAGAAAGCTGACCTGTGGAAATGATAAACACAGAAGTGAGCCGTAAATTAAAGAGACGTTGCGTATTCTTCATCAACGGTGAGAGACCGAGCGACACAACTGAGATTCCCGGGATCAAACTGATCGCGAAGCCGGCGGCACTGTGGTTGTTGATGAGAGATGTAGGTTAGTCAGCTGAGAATTTGACATCATGATCAACAACTAGGAAACTAGGAAGTGTGAGTGTAGTTGACACCTTTCGTCCACACCGCCAATTTCCATCAACGTTTTGGTCCCATTGTACTCGAAGACGAAGACAATGGTGTACATCAGACCTACGAGGGCTTGATGGATGAAACAAGTCACAGACAAATCACGCAAGCCTGCTTCCCCCGACTTCTTACTCTGTCCCTGTTCCAGCAACGGCCGGATCCTTCTACTGATGTCAGTACCGGCATAGAGGTAAGCGAAAAAAAGATAACAACACCCGGACACAGAAACGAAAACATACGACAGCTTGAGCGCCGAAAGAAACGCACATGCATTAGACGGGTCGTCATCAGGCTCCACGCGATACATATGCTTCAGCTTGTCCGACAAAATATAACCAACTGTGGCACCTTTTTTGGGGTTTTCTTTGTTTGCAAATAGGATAGAGATCATCGTTCTACTTTAGTACTTCTACAAACACACATTTCAGACTTTCTGATCATCTTCACGAACATCATCATATTCAGTGCAGTATTTGATGTGACGACCAGTACCAATCCTGCAAGCCGCAAGGACCCCAGCTTGTGCAATCGCCGCGTACTTGTTGCTGAAGAGCAGGAAGCAGAGGACCACCTGCACGATCCCTGTTGTCGATATCCCCGCCCAAAAGAGCACACGCCCAACGACCGCGAGTAGATAGATGCGGTTTGCCACTGCGTAGATCTGCAGAAAAGAGCCGATCATAACGCTGCTGCCAAACAGCAGGCAGCTTTTGGCAATGCCGAGGCTGCGCACTAGAAATCCGGCCGGACCAGACAGAACTGCAGACAGACTACCAATCGCAAGTATGAGACCGTACTGCGTATTGTCGATATCCATCCATACACAGTAATGAACATGGGTCTGAATATGTTTTACGACTTTGGTGATATTACACTAGACACTATCTAGCATAGGTGACGAAGTACTTCTTCATCTTCTTGATATAGAAGTACCTTTCTGGGAAAATTCAAGGAGCAGCGTGGGTTTCTTAGAATCAAGCCAGAAACTTCCGTGGAGTCTTCATTCCGAAGGAGAAGTCAAATAATCGTGGCGGAGCCGACCTAACTCGAAAAAAGAAAGACAAGAGGAAGATAGAAAAGAGAGCAGGGCACTTATCACTAACATCAATTATGCTCCTATCTGCTAAAACTAATTAAGCGCCGGCGCTATCGTCGTCCTGTCAGCCCCAAAGGAGAACAAGTCAAATAGTTCCATTTTTGAAGATGTTGTCCCTTTCATAAAGCAAATCGCCTTTGTAGGCGCCCCAGAGGCTGTCAAAAAAATAAGGGCCTGGAATGAAGCAGCATACTAGGAAGTGGATGAAGAGCACGTGGCACGTGCGCCTCGGGTCGATAAAGTATTTTATCCATCGATCTAGACATCGTCGGCGCGGCGGCGGAGCCCAAGCGTCCACCTCCTCCGGTTCCACTAATGGCACCCTTGCCCCTGAACCAGGCTGTTGCGCAACAGTCGATGTCATCTTCGTCTTTACGATTTTTAGTAGTCGCTAAGTAATATACTAGTAGTCGCGATAGCTAAGTAATATACGACATACATGGACTGGTACAGATACAGTACCACTCTTCCAATCTGAAATAATCAATCACAACAGCAACTCCCTTGATTAGAAAATCACAGGTTACTCCTACTTCGCTGCGTGTCCATGACGAACAACGAACCCGGTGCACACCTATTGATGGTTCAAATTTTCCTTTTCAGCAGATGAATCAGGCAAACGTACAAGAGGACAATTGTTATTATTAGGGGCTGAGAGTTGGCGTCTCTAGCTCGCATATCTATGGCTTTCCTACTTGAAGAAGCCATAGAGATGCGCATAGAGATGTCAACTTCATCCGATCCTTAATATTATAGAGATGGAATGAATTATGTACCCGACAGTTCATGGTGCAATGTTCAAGGATAGTCAATAAATCCTAGTTTGTACTACTCCTCTCCTCTCCAATCTACCGATACGGTATCTGGCCAAAACTGGCACTCAGCAACCCCTTACGTGAAGGGATCTCTCACCTCGACGCTTATGATATGAGTGCTGCTGCAGTAAACCACAAGTGCTGATATGCGTGAGCGGTGCATTTGCCGCTCAGAACCTTGCAGTGTGACACAGCACCCACATCACAAAGACAAAGTTCCATCTTAGGTAAAACCTGCAGTGTGGCGTGACACCCACTTCCATCTTCTAGTTCCTTTCGGGTGTAAGTTATAATGCCAAGGTCACGCTTGGGCTCGACTTCGCGAACCCCTGCTCGGGTCCTCGCTGTCAAAGGATAAACAATTTCGTACACGTTAGCATGAAAAATTGATGCAAAAGGAGTATAGAAAAAAAAAATATTTTTGCATGCCGCCTGCGCAGCAGGGCACGTCTATTTAGAATTGGAAAAGAGAATCTTGCACAACCTAGTGATTCTGTAATTGTTCGTTTACCAAATGACCCTGACGCAGATCTGCTGGAAGCTAGTGCTTGGCAGCAAGTGCATGAACAAAAAATGCGCGGTTGACAACATGAGGCATCGTCCGGTGTCTTCTGAAATATCAAGACGACGATTTGTTTCACCACAATTGTAGCTTTTGTGTAGTCTAGTCTAACCCAAGCATCATGTCATGTGTCCCATGTTTGATCTTCTACCACGTCACGGACGAGGCTTCCCCAATACATAATATTTTACCACACAAAGTCACCGTCGGACACTAGGGAAGCGTCCTTGCGCCGGGCAGTCTGATCACGAGACGAAGGCGCACCTTTGGAGTGTTGAAGTTGATCAATTCGTGGTGTGAGGCCCATCTCCATTCTGCTCGGTGTCGTTGTTCCACCTGGCGTGTCCTTACTAAAAGACACCGGCAGCGCTTGATAGTGGTATCCTCCTCCTGGGCACAGATTAGACGAGGAGCTACTGCGAACGTCAAAATATCTTTACTCAGAGAGTATTAGTCATGTCAAGAGATTCCACGACAGGTGGGAAGCAACTTTATCCCCAAACCTTCCCAGCCATGGATAAAGCATTATGTCAGAGCGACAAAATCCAAGAACAACTCGCGGCCATCTAGATGCCACGCTCGCAGATTCTGATGTAGAAGGCCAAAGGCCTGTAAACTTTGGTCTGCTTAGCGACAAATCGACTAAGCTGACCTCAACAATCAAATCTAAATAAAAGGTCTTATCACAACCTCAAAAGTCCAACAGGGACTTAGAGGACAATGCCTAACTAGTAGATGTGTTTCGTTAAACAAGATCCGACCTGACTGGGTTAGGCCCCGAAGTCTTAGTAAAAGCTATGGCGAGCCAGGCACTCGCTGGAGATCTGCCATATAAAACGGTCGAGAATGCGACCTTCTGAAAACTAGTAGCCATATAAAACAGCGAGGCCGGAGGAACTCGCCTTAGCTTTGATAGAGTCTTGAACCCGACAGGGGAGCGCACAAGAGGCCAAACTTGTTCACGTTCAAGAATAATTGAATTAAAGTTATTGGCTAATATTGAGGCCTCTGACAACTACGCTCCTTACCCATGGCTGGATCTTTCAATCAGACATAACGATCTGATGTCTTCGACGACAGAGAAGCAAGTATGGCATCCAGTTCTCACTGTACTTCGACAGACTCCAGCTGGTAACATAAATATGTCCAGACAGGATTTGAGAACTCGTTAAGGATGCTTCTACTCCGTATTTCTATGTAAAGAACGAAATAACACAAACAGCTTAATAACTAGTCAAGTAATCATACAGTAAATTATTTCATGGGGGGCCATAATGGGAGTTGGGGGCTGCAATTGCAGGGATCCGCTAGGTCCACTATGTTGATGCTTCAATGCGCTTTTCAGGTCCAGTGATTCCACCGGATGACTCCCTAGGCTCAAAATGCCAGGCGACTTGCTGGGATGGAACGAATGAGGGCTGTCCGGCGCCAGTGTCAGCACCTCATCATCGTCGTAATCAAGGTCTTTCAACCAGAAACAACACACCTGGGATGGGAGAAATGGACATCAGAGGGGCGGCAATAACAAATCGGATACGAACAGAGAGAAGTATGCTAATGTTCGAGCACTATCGGACCTACAAATTCAAAGGATTTCAAAATCGAACCCTCATTCTTCCAATTGACTGAATCCTAATTTTCTGGCTTCGAAGCGAGTACCACTGCAAGGTGAAGCATGCATGATCATTATGATTGAGTCTTGCTCTTGACCTCTTAGTTTTTAAGTACCACTGCAAGGTAATAGAGAAATGGATTGCGCGCGCCACATATAGCGTTGACGCCCCACAGTCGATGGTGCTGGGTCCATATCGCTGTGACAACTCGAGCTATAAGCGACATACCCGAAAGAAACCTGTATGGCTTTTTTCGTTTAACATCCAAGACCAATTATGTTCATGATGTCCAACCAAAGATATAAACCAACTAGACAAATCATGTGACTCTTCGCGTAGTTGTCTTTACTCTGACTGTAGTAAGAACAAGTTGAATTATCATGGCTTGAGCACCCGAGAAGCATGCTGCAGACGTCGAAGAACGTTCGTTTTCTGCTCAACACTAGCTTATATCCTGTGTGGCTGACGTCTAGCACCATTTCACTTCGTACTACTGGCGGCTTCTCATAAAACGCCGACCCCGAGGAAACAAAGGATCCGCGCTCTGTCTGCCCAACAAATTGCGCTACGAAGCCGAATAGTTGCAAATTCTGGATTAAATCCCGATAATCAGTCGGCACTAGTGCTATCCGAACGCGACTAGGCGCTGCGCCTCGCAGTGCGCGATCGTTGCCGGCTGGCGCTACCGAAACGTCCACTCTCGAAAAAGCCTCCGTCCGCAAACGTTGACTAGATGTAGAAGCAGTTCTACTACTTCCTCTATCCGAAGATGCTGCCTGACTGCCTGCATCCTCCCCATTCTGTCCGTTCCAACTGTGATGCCCTGAAGTAGATCCAGATGCAGCTCCGTTCTCGCTGTCGCTGCGTCCCATCGCACCTCCATCGCTTTGCAACCCCTTGTCCACCTCGTCGGCACTAGATGCACTGCCACCCTCTATCGCGGAAATCGCGGACCACGCGTCCGCTTCCTGGCGCTCCTCGCTTTTACGATGCTCGAGCCATCGTATGGACAGCGACCAGCGGATCTCACGCGCCGCTGTGAATGCAGCCAGGGAGTTTCGACTTGCCTCCGAAAAGTCCACGTCCACCCACATTTTAGCAAGTCGATTGCCTTCTACGTCGATCGTGCACGATGGGCAGAACATTTCCACACTGCACTGCTGAGGGGCAACCTGCGCACAACGGACCCCGTATTCCGACGAGAAGCCTTCGACGGCAACGTGAATACCAGAATGACACGCATCAGAGATGATCCACGAGGAACTTGCTTGTGTCGTGCTCGGTGAGTTACTTGTGTCAGTGCTTGTTGTGTCTTCCCTTGTTGAGGAGCTACCATGATCGCTTGAAGATGTTGTAAAATCTTCATCTGTGCTAGTCGAAGATCCACTCAACCTACGTCCCGAAGCAGCAACCGAGGAAACCCCTTCTGAAGAATCAAGAATGTCTATCGACCTACCATCTGCTAGTGCATCAGCCGATGCGTAAATATGCGAGTCTTGGTCTTTTAAATGGAGCGATCCGTGCTCTTCCGAGGCAGCGCTGGAAAAGCTCTCAAGTCTTCTCCGTGCTCGTTGCATCTGCTCCATTTTCGCCTCATTTCCCTGCAACCCATGATCTCCTTCATCTATACTTCTGCCGCCATCATTTTCGAACGCACTTGTTGTAGTTGCACCAGCATTTTTCGTATCACCACCGGCTGAAGAGCCAACCTTAGTGACGGCGCCTTCACTCGACGAAGCAACGTCGCTAAAGGCCTGCGCGAAAGCACCTCTGTCGCCAGCTACGCAAGGTCCGACGTAACCGTCCAAAACTGCAGTCACGCGAAAATTCGCCTTGATCTCGTCTACACCTCGACCTACTTCCTCCTCCCCAGGAATCGCCATCGATGTTAATACGCGATTCCCACGAATATGAACAAGCACCCAGCAGCGGGCTTCTACTGAACTTGTCATTACAGCAACCAGTTCTGATCTGCCTATAACTTATTATCAATCTGACGTTGTGGTAATCAAAGATGGTCGTGACCAGGCAAAAAACAAATAGTGCAGATCATCGTAGCTTTTGACAAAGCTCAGCCTTTCTGTTTTTGTTTTGTTCATAAAAGTGATGTCGCGCCAGCATGAAAAAGAGGACACAGACTGCAACGATGGCGTACATGAGGAAAATAATGCCGCCCTGTTCCGAGGGCACAATGCTGCCCGTAATAGGCCGCATATCCACTCGCCGCAACAGTCGCGCAGTTCGTCGCGGGATCTTCACGTGCACCAAAAGCAGCACCAACACGAGAAAGCTCGTTCGTGCATGAAAGCTTCTACAGGTGGATATTTTTATACGACCTCATAACGGCATTATCATCAAATGGTGTCCCGAATACTGAGACCTATTAGCCTATTGGCGGGGCAAAACCCTTTTTAGCGGTAAAAGAATAATTTCGACCTTCAATGCAGCATAGAGCTTCTAGAAAATCTATATCCCGGAAAATCTTTATCCTGGAACAATTACCATGATTATTAGGGGGTATGCCAAACTGCCTTTCCATACACTGAAACCCCTACCGCAAGCGTAACGCGTTGCCACCACGCGTGAGTCTGGAGGCTTGGGTCTCCATGCGGTGCATTCTGCTCGCGAACTCTACCCACGCTCTGTTTCTGGAATGGATTAGACGCCATTAGCGGACACTGGTTTGAAAAAATGATCCCCGTGATGTGTTTTGCACGTATTCGTTCGTTCCGTTTGATGTGTCGTGCACTGAGGAGCTTCCGCTTGTCCACTTGCGTGCTTTGGCTTTCAACGCGTGTTGGGCTTGGGTGAAGCGATGAAACTGCAGAAATGATAGAACGAGAGGATGAGGGAAACAAGACGCGGCGCCGAGATGTCAACTGTTCGCGTTCTTGCTGGACAACCTTTAGATTCTTCGTTTGAGACGCGGCATCTCTATTACGACTGCCGCTGCCGCCACCCGAAGACGAGCTAGTACTTGCGCATGGCTCACACGAGGCCGTTCCTGGCGAGTCTGAAAAGGTGTCACCATCGCAAGGAATGCACATCAAAATGTCCGTCATGCCTCGAAGAGGACCATGGAAGCCAACAGGACAGGCGAGACAAGTCCCGTCGATCGCGATTGTGCCTGCCGGACAAGGCAAACACTGGGCTCCTCTGCGGTCGTCCAACGGGCTCTGACGTTGATGCGTCGCCCACGGCGCGCGAAGACCACTTGTGTAGGGGAGCGAGACGAGGCCCGCGTTTGAAAGCCCTGTTCCGTGACCGCCCGTCAGCACGCTCCCGCTGTCGCATGGAAGGCATGGCCCGAGATCTTCATCGGAACTGCTGCTGCCTTCGCATACAGGGGAAAAGGGCGCGATTACGGTCCATGTGCTGAGAAAAGGCTTCAAATCGAGGGATGACGAAGGACCGGAAACCTTGCTCGACTGCGGGTCAAAGCTGCACTCCCTCGCGAGAAAAGGTGTCAGACTGTAGCCCGCGCCACTCCCCACACCGACGTAGCCGCTGCCTGACGCCACCGCCGTCTCCTCCGCGGTCGTGTGCCAGCGCCGAAACGGCTCCGCGGAGGTCAGTCCACCATGCACGACCAAACGCCCCACGGCTGGCCAGTAGCAAGTTGCCCCCACGGCGACTGTCCCCAAACCGCTTAGCGTGTTTGCCGCTTCGAAATATTGGACGTGCCCGTGCGACGACGACCCCGAGCTCTGGCCAGAAGAGAAGCTTCCGCCTGTGCCTGAAGACGCACTTCCGTCTTTGCCGGAGTCTCCGGAGGTTGATGCAAATGGATTCGGAAACCAGGATCTGCCACTGTCCACCTTTGGTGGACGATATTGGAGTTCAAGGGGATCCAAACGCAGCTCCTCCTCTCTCACTTCGTCTCCGGAGGACGTGCCACTTAATATTCCACCAAAACTATTATCAGGGCCGCCTCGTGCAAGTTTGCGCCAACGCACTGCAGTAGATGAAGACTCGCCACCTATTGCAGAAAGCTGTCGAGCAGGAGTCGACTCGTCCCTATTCGATGATGTCGTACCAGCACGACTTTGACTCCTCTCTTTCGGAGCCGCACTTGAGCTCGTAGCACTATCTTCATCTTCCTCACTAACCTGTTGCTCCTCCTGTGATTTCTGTGTTGAAGCTCCTTCTGATCCGAGATCGTGGTTTGCATCCCTCTGGCTGTCCTCGCCATCGCTTGCTTCTGCCGTCTTGGCACTAGATGATGGCTTGTGAAGCCTCTCCTCCACATTTTTTTTGCCCGTCTCCGAACTACTACTAGATACTTTATCCTCATCTTCCTTGCGGTCGCGCCTCGTGCCGGCAGATGGTTCTTGAGTAGTGTCCTGTGTAGCAGCAGAAAAGTTGATCGTCCATGTGTCCGGTGATACTATGAATCCACTTGAAGTACTAGAAGAAAAGCCACCGACGATCACAAGCGCCCTTCCTCCCACCAGTCGCGCGGAGTGAAAAGCAACGGCCGGTGCCTTCTCCGCAGGATGCTCGATCTTGAACCACGTTCTCCAGAGGTAGTCGAAATACCACATGTCGTTCAGAAGCTCGATGCTTCCTCCTGACTCACTCAATCCGCCGTAAAGCAAAACGCCTCCTAGATCGTGCTCCTCTGCATGTCCCCAGGACCCGCTCTCTCGAGTTTCTTCTGCTTCTTGTGCAGCCTGAGCAGGAGCATAGTCTTTCAGTGGTGCAGCCAGCAGTGCCAGCGGACGCTTGTTGCATGCGCTTAGGGAATGACCTACACGACGCCGCGGTCTGGAGCCCGAACCCTCTTCAACCAGCCGCTCAAACAGGTGCTCTAATACAGGAGCAGCGGCGGCATCTGCAACGCCTCGACCATCGCCTTCGTCGTCATTTCGCGTAGAAGAAAACGTTGCCAGCAAAGGTTTCAGATTCACTTGCCAAATCTCGTTGCTTAGCGTACCATCCTCAGCTTGACCGCCACACAAGAGCCATCTGTGCTGACCCAATACGACGCTGGAAAGGAAGTGGGAAAGTCGAAACCTGTTTGGAACTTCGCCGAACTGGCGCCAGCGAAACAGGCCGTGCCCGGCTCCCCGTGCACTCGCAGTTGCTGAGGAGGTGGTTGCAGGCAAGAGACCGGCGTTCTCCTGGCCGTCTCCGCTGTTTCCTGACGAAGAGGCGTCGTTCATTTCCTCGGACGGCAGTCGAATCGCCCATACGTCGCGCAGATAGTCGTGCTCGGACCGCCCACCGAGCACGACTAGCAGTCCGTCTGCCGTTCCCGCCGCCGCGTGGCCGTATCTCGCGGTCGGCTTTGCGACCCAGATACCGAAAGTCTGGTCCAGATTCTGCCACCGGAGCGTGGAAGGACTCAGTGCCCACAGCTGGTTTGACAGAGCTCCGCTATCTGTTCGCCCTCCGAAGTGCACCAGGTAGGGACCAACAGTGGTCAGCGAGTGGCCCACCGCCATTGGCGGTGTCCGCTGACTCAGCCCTGGAATGAAGCCCGCATAGTTACTATCACCTCCCTTCTCCGAGAAATCGAGCAGGGAAAGGCTCGACGCGCGCCTTAGCACAGCATCGGCATCAGTAGCTGAAGATGGCTGGTCCTTGCCTGCGCCTTTGGTAGCGTGACTTTTCGAGGACGGAGCGTCTGCAACGCTATCAGAAGACGCTGCTGCCGATGCGGATGCCGCATCACTCGCGTCTTCGTCTTCTTCGATTTCGACCGGGCAGACCGCACGAAAGGGCCGGGTGGATTTCGTCTGCGAACCAATTGCGATTTCGACTGTTCGGCTCTCAGATTTGGCCTCGACCTGTTCAATCTCCAGATTGAGGCTGGCGCCGAGGATGATGTCACACACACGCAACGGAATCACCAGCAATTCCTCTAGGTTGTGGCCGTGAAGCACCTGTGTAGTACGTCCTTTTTTACTTCCAGTTCCATGAAGAGTAGTGACATCCCTGCCATCCAGCATGTTGCTAGCCGAGAAGTCGAGCCTGCCTCTGCCGGTCAAGTAGCGCGTGCACGGCGCCAGACCGTAAGATACTTTCACGCGACCTGCAGTAAGCACTTTCAACTCCCGCGCTGAAACGAGAGTAACAGTCGTGAGACCAAACGGGTCCCACACATTATTGCTGTCGTCGTGATCGCTATCTTTATTGCGCATCGTGGTCTTCATTTTTTCCGACGCATCGTGCTTGACACGCCTTTCTCCTGACCTCCGCGATCGAGGCCCGTCGTCGGTATTTACTGCGCCTACATCGCCTTCTTCGTCGCTTGCATCCGCACTATCGGTTCTCGTCGTTACTGACTCGTCTGCATCATCGTCTATTGCGGTGCGGTTTCCCTGTCCAATTGAAGAACTGCCGCTCTTGAAAGTGGATGCAGAGTTTTCCTCTTTCTCGTCTTCTTTCGCGTCTCCAGTAATCTGCGTCTCGCTCAGAATTTTTGAGAGCTGCTTCCTACAGTCCTCATCGCGTGGAAGACACTGTAGTCTCTTCACGACTTCAGGGCTGAGGCTGGCAGCGCCGACACTGATCGTCGCACTAGAACGCAGTTCCTTTCGCTTTTGATCTCCAGTGGACCCTTGTCTATGCCCACTGGCATCTGCGTTGTTGGTTGCCTTTTCCCTTTTGGAAGTAGAGCTACTCCTATCACTTGCCGGTAAGTCCATTTTTGCTGTTCGTGTTGACGATGAAGACAATCCAACAGTCTCTTGACCAATTGTACTCGTGTCACGTCCTCTAGGCACTGCTGTCGTGGTACTTGATGTGTTATGGTTTTCGTGCATGCCACCATCGGGATTGGCGTGTGGAGCTTCCGTCGCGATTGCCGCTTCCCTGTCGTGACGATTCCCATCATGCTCTTCCTCTTTCTTCACGGCAGGGTGATAGGCGTATTCGCGGTGCAGCGTGACCTCAAGATCGCCGTAGTGAACCTTTCTTCTATCCGCGTCAGAAGCACTAGTACTTTCTTCCAAGCCCTGCTTCAGCCAGTCCGCGAAGCCCCGACGCAGGACGCGGAGACTGGTATTCCCCTCTAGCGAGAGTGTCAGAGACGCCGTGTCCAGATACCGGCAGCTCACTGTCACGTTGGCAGCCATGAAGCCTGGATGCACCCGGAACTCCGGTGCACCGAGCGTGACATTGAGTTTCGTCCTCGAGCCACCTACTTCCGCAAATATCGTTTCTTGCAATGCCGCGACTAACAGAAAGTTGCTTGAAGAACACGCTAACCAGAGAACGAGTAACCACGCAGAAAGAACGAACGACCCAGGTCGTGGAAGGCATGTTCTTCCGAGTGCTCGCCGTGTGCTCGGACATGCAAATGAACACCACGACCATGGTGAGCATGCTGAACAAGACCGTGTCCAATCATAGAGACACGGGCTCTCCTGGAGAAGTTTCATCTTCGCTGCTAGCGCACCACACGGCTTCTCGATAAATTCAGCGACAGCATCTGCATCGCGCTGTGGTAGTACTTCCACTGCATGCATCCATCTTCCTTTACTCGCTGGCACTGCACAGGTGAATCATCTGTTACGAAGACAAATCTTTTTCAGGGAGCTAGCAATCTCTTACGAGGATGATTCTTCCACGTGCCTGAAACCAGCTGCTAGTACTTCTAATTTGTCATGATTCGACGTCTTTCGTTCCTCTACAACGGTCACGAGTCTTCTTCTTCTGCTAGACGAGCCTGCCGTCGGTGTTTCACGTAAGCTCTGTACTAGGCTTCAAACAAGAACAACTTGTCCTTCTGTCACCACTCTAAAGTCGATGCTTTACGTCGCTGTAGGCTACGAGTTTCCCGATCCAGGGATACTTCTTTCGATTCCCAGTTTCGGCGCGAGCGTTCCGTGCCTCTCCCTTTTTGGAGCCACCCTCTGCTTCTGCCGCTTTCGCTTGTTGAGAAGCCTTCTGCGCTTTAAGCATTTTCGTAATAGCAGACTTCTGCTTCGCTGAGGGCCCAAAACGCCGCTGCTCAAGTTGACATGCTAAAGCTCGCGGGGCAAAAGTGCTTGAATCAACAATCGAAGCTGGATCAAGATTCACCTGATACACCGCAGTATTAGCCGTTGTGGTCGTCGTTCTACTTCCCAAGAAGCTGATGTAATCACTGAGAGGAGGACGATAAGAGCTTTCTGGAAGTGCGATTGTCGATACGTCTGGACGCGGAATCGTTGAGAAACACCGCAGATGCGCAGCTGTGGTGTAGTTGCCTGTGCGTTTCAACGACATCGCAACATTCTTCCAAACTTTACATCGATCAGCCATCACGTGATTTGGATACCTAATGAGTACAGGATCAAGACACCAAATTGTCACAATGATGTCCAAGCACACATCGCAAAGTAAGTCACAACATTATTATGTTGGTGAAGCAGACCTAAAAACTAGAAAAAACAAAAACCGAAAGAAGGAAAGTCAATGTCACAACATTATTATGTATACAACGATCGGCATTGTGAAACCCCTTCAGGGATGATCGATTTGAAGTAGAGATATGTCGAATGCGTAACGTGCTTAGATTACGGCAAGATGTGACATGATTCTTTTTCCAGAAAAACAATAATTCATCGTCTCAATTCGCTCATGCGTTATCTTCCTGCCTCACTACACTGTCTCCCAAAAACTCCATCCAGAGTTGACGTAGTTCCACTTGTCTATGGATGTACTTAGGCATTTGACCCGCGTCTCTCTCAAAGGGAATGGCATCTCGCGGTGACGGTCGCGTCGCAATAACAAGGACAGTCTCGTCTTCGAGACGGCCAACGTACGAGGCCAGGGCATCAATATGCAGCCACAGGTGCACAGCTCACCAATCCTGGAAAATGCTCTACATAGTGCACATCTTTCGTTTTTCGAATGTGGGGACCTTCTGAGCGCAACCGAGATTGAATTTGCCTCCATTTTTACCCGATAGACAAGTAGGTGAATAATCCCTGTTTTCGAGCTTGATTTCTTGTTTCATCAAAAAAACAGTTCTACGGCTATGCCCCCAAGACCCCTGAGTAGGATTGTCGAGGGTGACAGCCTACTGTAGGTTTCAAAGAAGTCCAAGGCATGATTTACAAATGAGATTACAGATTAAAGCGTCCCCTTCTTCGCAAGTGTGGGTCCGTCTTCAACATAAAAAGTCTTCCATTAGCATGGATGATATAAAGAAGCCTAAAAAGCAGATACGAAAGCTCCGCCCTCCTCCAGGAGTACAAAACCTGCGTATTACGTCGACGTCGATGAAAAACAAAAAAAATAGCTCATAAGAAAACCTATGGTAAATCCTTCATCAGTCCTCCGTTCGACCAAAGTCAATCTTGTAAGCAACTTCATTCATAGCACTAACAGCATATTATTGCGCTTCAAACGGGGAAAGCTCTCCTGCAGACCTAACATACACAAACTTACTACTTCTATACTTACATAGATGAAGCCCGCGCTGTAAAATCTTCTGTCGGAGGGAATAGTTTGGCACATCCTACGACTCGTTAGAACAACCATGCGCGATAACATTTATCGCGTTCGTCAATATATTTCTGCATGCGAATGCCTGATAAGTAATTGACTTATTTTATATTGATATTCTTCGTAACACAACTTTTATCTAATAGCAAGTCTCTCGTCGATATCTCAAGCGTGGTTAGGTTAGGTAACGTTCTGCAACTGCTCGCTATTGCCCCGACTGGACATAAAATGATAATGATTACAATTATATATTTTATTGAGGACAAACAGTCATTGACGACTACTTTCGAGGTTTTCCCGACTGAGTCGCGTCACGTATGATTTTTTGGATCTTCTTTTTGAATACTCGTTCTGCTAATTTGTCGTATATCGTATTGATGCCCGTCCGTGACTTTTGATAGGGTGCAAGGATACGGGTGCTTCCATAATCGTGCTACTGGTTCGTCTCTCCAATCCTTCTTGTCGAGTGCTATTGGGCCTTCTTTACAACTGTAGCCTTCCAACTTGCATACGACACTATCGAACTTCAGAGCTCGCAAGTCTTTCTTGGTCCATTTACCGCTTAGCGTGAGCCCCATCTTAAACTACTCCACATTCGCATCATCGACGACCGGAAGGAGTTCCGATATCGCTGTATTGATCTCAGAACCCTGCGCTTTCTCCGTTACCGGCCGTTCACGCGAACTCGGCATGCGATTGCAAGCTGCTAGCTGCTGTTGTGCTCATACCGGATAATGTGAAGTTCCGGTAGATCTCGTTGTGGATGAAATTCACCCACCCGAGACGGACTATTTGGAGTCGGGATATTTGAATACGGACTGTTCGATACCAGAGCACTACTTGAATGCAGAATATTCGAGGTACTATATGGAAGCAGAATATTCCTAGCTCCAGATGGAGAAGTGCCACTTGCAACAGATGGATGCTCCGTGATTGCTCCGTGACTCCATTTGGTTTTCCGAACATCCCTTGCTGCCATCGCCTCGCTTCTGTTGCAGTAGTGGCTTCTAACCCTTCTTGTACATGAAGAGGAAGTTGAGTATGCCAAGGCTCTAACCCTTGTACAGGAGAAAAGGAGTGCTGCTCCTGAACTGGCAAAGACAAGTATCCCTCTCCAGTTGTAGTAGTCAGTGACCCAGAAGTTGGATGGTCTCCAGCAATACCTTTCTGAGAACGCGAAGGTGCTCCCTAAGAACAACTCCTCGCAATCCTTGCAGCCTCGCTATCCCTGAAGGTGGCGTCCTCACTATCCCTGAAGGTGGCTTCCTCACTATCCCTGAAGGTGGCTTCCTGGCTACCTCCACCTAGGACGTAACCGGCTGCTTGAGGTGGTTGCTTCTCGTCGACAAAGTTGAAGAGCAACTTCGGGTCCGCTTCGAAGGCGATCAATTGTGCACGAAATTGCTCTCTAAAAAGTTCCTTATTGGGAAAAGCTTCATCAGACTCTTGGTCTCTCCATCTGTGGTGCTCTCCATCATACTTTCCATCCGTGGTGCTCTCCATAAACTTGTCCAGTGTCTGAGACCACTTTCGGTTCGTTTCTTCCGCTGTAGCGCCATCCAGCACAAGGGAAAGAAGCCCACGAAGCTCGTCGTCGGAAATTGGCTCCGCGTGGTCGAGACGAGGACTATTTTTAAGTCGAACTCCACCCAGCCACTCTTCTTCACGCAGGTGCGGAAATCCTTGCAGTCCGTACTACAACGCGCTTGCAGAATGCACTTTGTCAGCCGATCAGCCGTGTTCTCGACGTTGACAACATCCCTTCCCGCAACGGGATGAGTAACAAGTGCCACCACTTGCGGACAAGAGAAAGAGGACAGAAGAAAGCTCGCCGACAGCGACTCGCGGAGTTTCCTCACTTCGACAACCCCATGATTAAACTTGTAAGCCAACTGCGCAGGAGTCAAAGCGCATCCTCCTTGAGGAGCGTCGTAATGCTCCGTACAAGTACAACGCTCGGTCTTCCATGGATTATGCGCGTCCATTTCTTTCACGTGGTGCGCAAAAACGCATTGGTTTCCCTAGGCGCAAGCGCCACCCTTAGCAATCCGCTTTGGCGCTATCGTGGTGGTGGTGGAACTTGTTCATTTGCTGCAGCTTCTTGCTAGAATCCTATGCTGGTGCGTTCATCTTGGATGTGCAAATGAGATGAGGTTCCGTTATTTCGTGAGCTTTTTCCGCCTCTACTGCCATGACCCCTGCCACCTCTTCCGGCGCTGCCAGCCTTGCCATCTCCCGAAAGATGGGGTGGTAGGTTTAATAGCATCAACTGGTAGATATTGTTGCACGGGGTAAGCCTAATATTGCGGAGGTGAAAACTAACCGGCTGTTTTACTTAGTGCTTTGAGCGTCGCTGGACCTAAACCTTCACCAAAAGGTATATAATCCAATATAAGTGAAGATATTGTGAAATTACTACAATTCGATTATCTAATACGGTGAAAATAATGAAACTCTTCTTTTTCCTTGGACACAATATTTCTATATGGAAAGTTCTTCAAGCAAGTGTAAGTCCTCTACTCAACGAGAAAGAGGTTTTGCGTATTGTTCGTCATTACTGACCTTCATCAAGCAAAACATCATTCGACCGTCGAAGTGAGTGAATTCTCCTTCTTCTTTGTTTAATAAACTCAGCGACTCAGGTTCTCCAGTCTTTTGTCTAAGATTTGATGAGCACACTTTTCTGCATACGTGTTGACAATAAATAAATCATGAATCCCTACCTACTTTTAATTGTAACTTGTTAGTTGTAACTCATCCTCCTGTAACTAAATGCACGTTGATTCCTCAATTCGGCTTCTCTTAGTAGCAGTAGGCGTAGTGGCAATAGTAGTGGTAGTAGTGGCGCTGGTCGAGAACTTGCCGAGCGAGATGCCTGGTCAGATCGCGCTAAATGTAGTTTGCACCAATTTCGACATTCCAAAGCAAGATGAGTGATCCTACCTCGGGATCACGAACGACACGCCTGTGAACGAACAATTAAAGGCAAGAACTGCAGTCCACTTTTCTCCATGATCTACCTGATCACACATACTCCTTCCAATATGAATTTCATCTCCAAGGTCTCTCCAAAATTCACGCTAAGCCTGTCTCAATCTTCCGAAACCTTTCGTTCTTCCGAATCAATCTTGGTCGTGTCGTGTTGTTTCTCTCCCCGGATTGATGTACTACCACATGTATGGGTTTTATGCTGATGCTGATGGACTTTGTGAGCGATCAAATGTATTGAGTTCATTAGGTGTATTAGAAAAGAGCCGGATATTAAACTTACATTATGACGCCAAAATGTCAAGCGCACATTCTCCAGCGTATCTTTTTTTGAGTACTCAAGACGAGACGAAACTATCTGTTGTGAAAAATATCGCCATATCTGCTCAAATTTTCATACGGGATAAGCTACTGCAGCAGCGCCCAAGGTTGTCACTTACATCGGCGAATGTTGGTGTACTACCTGCTATTCTAAGGCATCAAAAAATTTTCCGTTGTCAAGATACAGTTATCGGCTTCTTTGATCCAAATCCCGTGGCTTCTTTGATCAGGATGCAGTGGCTTCTTTGATCACCATTGAGACATAGCTAACACTACTATCACGCCGTGCGTCGAAAACCTCCCCTGATTGGGCGTAGCGCAAGTGCTCTATCGTAAAAATGGGGTGCTTCTCGTCGATTCTAGATGGACATGGAGGCTCTCGGAGGAAGTTTTCATATCGCGCACCTCCCGTATTCGACTTGCTCCTTTTTGACCCCGCCCTTCTCTCGATGCTGAACTCATCCTCTTCAGCATTGCGCAGTAATTCTTAGAAAATGCTCAACATTAAAAAAGTAGATTGAAGATTCATTCGAAAGAAGAGGATAATTTTCTCATCTTCTTTGTTCGGTACTTCTAAATAATATCAGATACAAAATCAAAAATCTGTTCATCTGATCAATTGGTTAAGTAATCGTAAGAACATCACCTTAAGAACCTTCTTCTCCTCTCGTGTTGTTGAGCTGCAAGTTGTTTTTGTGCCTCGTCGTCGCAGAGGAGAGCATGAAAAGGAACAAGGAAATCGGATGCCGACCGCAGATGGTATTTTGCGTTCTCCTCAAGTAGCCGTCAAACGCCCAAGGATCCTGGGTGCACATTAAGTCCATTCCCTCTCGGTCCAGTTCTTCGATGTACGAAGAGATAGGTTGCTGTCCGGCTGCAGGGCACGGGCAGAAGTCGAACCGGCGGCCCCAATGACAAAAATCCGAGGACAACACAAAAAAATTCGACGGATCTGCAGTGTTGAAAAGATCTTGTTGTTGTTTGACATCAAATGAATAAGCGATTTAATAGCATAGAAGCCTCTAGTACTACGTATCTATCATACATTTCGAGCACAACAAGAAAACAAATGTGCGAGGGATTATACCATCTATCATCATTTTCCGAAGCGCTTTGCCAAAAGCGGCCTCCCGCGTCGCGTCCATGCTTCCTACCATCAGGGCCGCTACTTTCACGTTCGCCGCTTGCCCCGCCTCTTCTAGACAATAGCGCGGACTTAGAAGTAAGGAGTTTCTCCTGACCCTGTCTCAAACTTAGAATAGGTGATTTACTCGAGTAAAACGCTGTCAGTGTGACTCTTTCCTGAGAGGAACATGTATCCCCCTCACCTCGTTCATCCAGAGGAAAAAAATCCGACAACAACTTCTGAAGTATGTGAGTTGGGCCTTCAACATGCTTCGCACCATGTGTTAAATATGATCATCAGTAAGGCCATCCCGTGGTAGACTTCACACCGTGATAAGTATGAGTACATCTTCTTTACCACTGGGAGCGTGGGAATACTCAACTATTTTAGATGACCAAAGCAATGCTTCTCTACTACTCCCACCCTTAAGATATAGGGATAGTGCATCTCGCCACTGTGCTCGTCTGTGTCCACCTTCGCGTTCATTACCTGAATCCCGCAAGGGAAGGCACCTGTGGAGCTCGAGGAAGCAGTTTCCTCCTGCAAGGACAGTAGCGAGCGCAACCAAGGTACGTCAACTGGTAATGGACCTACATTAGAACTTGTCATGTGTGTCACTTGTAAAGAGCTTCCTGGAAGGTAGTTCACTCTCTATACTCATCTCTTCAATGATAGAGACCTTTGTTCGCGGAGGTAGGTTACTTTCACTTTACATTTGTTTCTTCAAAGTTCCTACACAATTAAGGGGAACCCAAATTTGTCGAATTGCAAATTTAAAACTCAATGAGGTGCTCACGCTGTGATGATCGATTGGCGAAAGTACCAGAGTCTTAACTAGAACCGTGTTCAGTTCATGGGCACCGGTAAGGGCGATGGTGTTCAGATACACGTGATGACTTGGGTGGAGAACCACGACGCGGCGGATTTTGCAACCATTTCGGTCTAAGATTAAAGGCAGAGAGCGACCCATCTGTAGTTGCCTTGATTCGATCAGCATCGCTTGCCGTATGTCTAACTGTTATTCATCATTAGTTTGCACCGCCTAAAAGGTAATAAGTCGTTCGCATTTTTCTAAGTTGTATTAAAAGCTTTCCTCTTCTAAACAAGTAAAACATGCTGGTCTGATGGAGAGAGATGGGTCGCCTCTAGCACTAATCGAAGGGCCTCCAGTAGCTGAAAATACGCATAAGCCGCCGTAGGCCCAGAGTAAGAGTATCCTGCGTGTGGGGCAATGACTGCTCGAGCGCGCGACGACAACGATCCAGCAGAAAAGCTCCTCATGCTATACTTAGATGGAGAAGCAATCTCGAGTCTATAGTTAGATGAAGATGCATGATTTACTTAGATGAAGAGGAGACTCTACTTTTCTACTTAATAGGTGATGATGGAATCAAAAAAAAGCATTTGCTTCCCAAGATCTTCATGCTTCACGCATTGGTTCGAAAAAGAAACATGAGCCACACAGATATCGTAATGCTGCCATCGGCTCCACCACACATAGTTCTACCCGCCTCTGTGATCCACGAACGGAACGACTCGCGCAGCTCATCGGGGTCGTCCGTATACCAAGATCCCGCATGTGAGGCAGGCCGCGAATAAGAACCCAACATGCTTTCCATTTTTGTAAGAACTAACAATACAATTTATGAGAAAATTTTAAAACTACTAAATCTTCAACATCAGAAAATTATGCTGAGGTCAATCTATTACATTGAAAAATTATCACGGAGTAGATTGAAAAAACAGAAAAAGTCAATTAGACAAAACTAGTACCGTAGACTTTATCGACTAGTAACTCATTTCAATTTATCCAAAAATAGAAGCTGATTGACGTAACAACCGAAGCGAAGCAAAACGCCTAGATTCTTCACGGTACACTGTGGTGGATCTTGAGAAAGTGCTCTAAAGTTCAACTCGTAGAGCTAACGGTCTAAAATCTTCCACGTGCTTGCTGAACATTACCGATGCTTCTGTCGCTGTGGCATCATCATCTTGTTATCCGACCATAAAACGATTGATTTCGTTCATTGCAGAAGCTACAGAAGGTCGGAGATCTTCCACGGCGTTGCCCCTGCCTAATTCTTGCTCGAGGCGGCTGTCTCCTTCCTCATAGGATCTCATCAAGTCGTAAAAGTAAACAGATTGCGAGCCCTTTTTCAAGCTCTCATGCGAAAGCGTGCGAACTGTAGCTCTTGATCTGGAACAAACCCTTTTTTCATAACTAGGATCATATGCGGAGGACTGTACCTCGATTATATCTGAAAACAGCAATCTGTGAGCGAGACGGAAAGGAGGAAAAATATCACTGGTTGGTGAGTGAAAGGGAAAGGGAGGTGGAAACTTTCCGAGAGCCAGTCTCATGGTGCTGGTACACCACAGTCTCATGGTGCGGGGACACGACCATAATATTCAAGGTTTCTTCTGCACTGCATCCTTCACATTCTTGGAATCATAGATCATTTCATCAGGCCACACGATTCCTTTTAGCGACTGGTTCGCAGAGCGCGTCCTGTTCCTCATTCAGCTGCCTCATGTAACCGCAGGTACAAAGCTTGCGCCCGCATTTTGGGCAGTGATTACCCCTCAACATGCGTGCAGCCTGATCATTCTCGTCTTCAGCGCTGTAGTCGAGAATCGTCGGGTTATCCTTGTAGGCTCGCATATAGACAATCTCCTCTTCCTTCTTGGGCTGAAACTTTTGCAAGATTTCCTGCGGATTCTCATCGTGCAATCGTGTCAGTCCATCCGGCATCACGGCCTGTTTCAGGTAGAAGGAAAAAGCGATGAATGTGTGAAGAGGACTACACAAGGACATAATGAAATTCAATAATAAAGAAAGCATCAATTAGTGGAGGACGAGCGAGGAAGAAGACTTGTTGTACAGAAAGCGGGAAGCCATGAAGTGATCAAAAGTTTCTCAAGATATTGAAATACGTTGTAGTTTCTAGCCTACTTTCGAGGAAGTATTTGTGGCCTAAAATAAAACAAGTGTCCGCGAGTGATGAGTTCATTCTGAAGGAAAAAATAGCAAAAAATAGTAAAGATACCTTTCCCTGTTGGTTGAGGGTGATCCCTTGCATGCCAAGGATCGTCTTTGTCACTACACTGAGCTTCGTTCGGTCGTTGCGCTCCCTCTCAATCATTTCTTGCTCGAAGGGGTCCGCAATGGGTTCTGGCTTGTTAAAGACAGTAAGCTCGCTTTCGTCCTTAGCGCGGCGTTCGAGTTCCGTTTTGACGCGCATCTTCCCTCTGTAACCCATTTCGCGGATGCTGCCGTCTCGGTTGAGGCGAATCCCCGCTTGCCAGAAGGCATCCTTGTCGTCCGCCGCGAAGATGGCGTAGCCCATCTCCTGTTCGACTTTCTGTTCTTTCTTGCGCTGCATGTCCCGTCCAGCGAGGAGCGCATGCAAAACGCCCCGCTTGCTGTATGTAGGGTTGTACAACACACGGATCGTTCCGGAGCGGAGTCCGACAAACAGCTGGCGCAGAGGTCGTGGCGCATCTTTTTTCGAACGCAGAGCGGCGTCCGGATTGTTGCTGCCGGCAATGCGTTGCTGTTCCCGGTATGCCTGCATGAGGCCGAGTCCGCGCTGCGCAATTTCGGGATCGCGATGCACCAGCGACGTCAAGTCCTCATCTTCGTCTGCACCTGCTGGACCATTACCCCTAATATTTGCGTCTCCGTCTTCGGGAATCGCATGAAGGTTTCCGCCCTCTTGCTTAGACTGCCGCAACAGGTCGTCCAGGGTCCCGCCAAGTGCTTTCTGCGCTCGGCGTAATCTCCGGCGCCGCTTCTTTTCCTCCTGCGCAAGCTTTCGCTTTCGCTGAATGGCCTCGTAGTCTGGCAACTGCGTCAGTTTCTTAAAACTGTCCGACAACAGCATGCTCGCTCCTTCAATCTCCTCTTCGTTGCTATCGCTATCGCTGTTCTCCTCGGCATCCAAATGCTGTGGTTGCGCGCCAGACGCGGCACTCGAGGAAGAGGCGTCATTTTTTTTTGTCTTAGAAGCTTCAATAGCCCTTCCGCTAGCGAGGTCATCTGCTGCTTCGTCATCGTTATTACCTTTGAGAGCTTTTCGCTTGACGCCACCAAAAGCGGCCTGTTGCTCCTGCAGCAGCTGCTTGCGTCTCGCCTTCTCCGCTGCTGCTAGCTCCTGCAGCTCGCGCGCATCTTCAACGCAATTCCGGAACTCGTTCCCCCTCACCACCGGATAGGCCAGGAACACCGCGGGCTGATCTAAGTACATCACCTGCACACGCTGATACGGCTCGGCAAAATTGAAGATCTCGACGCTGCTTCGAGACCCGTTACAGCAGGTTGCCACTAGCGTCTGCATCTCGCGTGTTTGCGGCGTCGCGCCGCGAAGGTCCGTGAGAAAGACGATGTTAGTCTTGTCCGAGTCCTCGCTCGGGAGGTCGGACCACACGTGGATGGGCTGCAGGTTCGGTCCGAACACGTGCGCTGCGTTCCACAATTTCATGGTCCCGTCACGGCTGCGCGACACCAGCTTCCCGTCGAAGAATTTCAGATCTGTAATGCTCCCATTGTGCGCGTTGCGCAGGATCAGGGGCTTGCGATCCGGCTTGTCCACGAAGAACAATTGCAAACTGCCATCATTGCACCCGGCAACGAGCTTCTTGCAGCTAACTGGATCCAGCGCACAGGCGGTCGCGTGCACACCGCGAGGACCCCCAACAAAGCAGTTTCGTCGGTCTAGTACCTTGTTGTAGGCATTGTTAAGTTTTTTGTAACGATTGAGGTGTCCACTAGGACTAAAGACTTGCACCAACTAGATAAAATTCATCATCAGGTTGAATTTATTTTTGAAATAATTTCATTGTTAGTGGAGTGAGATGACTGCTGCAAAGCACATCGGTGCTGGCCCACAGCTCTGAAGAAATTACAATTACTTTTGAGGAAAGACGGGCTTGACAGGTGACGGCATCCCTCGCTTAGGTGGTGCAGTCACTGGTTAAGCGACCTTTTGCTTAACCGGTTCCCGCGTGTCGCTTAAGTGGTGAGAGTCACTAGTTAAGCGACTCTATCGCTTAAGCGGTTCCTGCGTGTGTCGCACAAGTGGTGAAAGTCACTAGTTAAGCGACCTTTTGCTTAAGCGATTGTTGTGTCATCTAGTAGCTACGATTGCGAATTATAGGAAAAGATGACTCTATTAAACAACCACATCAAGAAGTGGAAGAACAATGACCAGTCTGTCTGTCATATTTTATGATGAATGTCAGAAATAATACCCTGAAGACGTGTTCCTGCGCTAAGTGCTGGTCGAGGCCTACTTTCCGTTTGCCTAGCATGTTCCAGAGTCGGCAAGTTCCGTCGGTGCTGCAACTGATAAACCACTTCTCCATCTCGGAGTGCCAATGGGCCTGGTTCACCGCGGTGGTGTGTCCCTTGGTTTGTAGCGTGTCCCGCATGTTGTTGTCACCCCGTGCCGTCGTGCAGATGGGTTCCGCCGTCATTGCGTCCGTGCCGTAAATGCGCACGTGCGTGTCCGCACAGGACACGAGGAGATTCTGCGTCCGGTGCTGCATGGCGAGCGAATTAATGGGGTGCGACTCCACGGGATTCAAGGACCGGTAGGGCTCGCACTCCAAATCCATCCCGTGAAAGTTGAAATAGTGGAGTTGTCCATCCAGGCAGCCGGACACCATGATGGACGCACTCTGATCAAACGTCATGGCGGTGATCGGCTTTTTATGGCGCTCCTTGATCTCAAAATGCTTCTGAAAAATGTCTTCGTCTTCTCCCTTCTTCTGCTCGGGCATCGGACCTCCGTAATCACTGCTGCTCTCGTCTTCGCCATCGTCGTCTTTTTCATCTATTGCTTTACTACTACTTCTAGTTGTCTGTATAATTCCTGCTCCTGCTCCTGCGTCTTGAACAGAGGTTGAAGTTCCTCCAGCGCCGTCTGTTGACTTATTAGCATTGACGCCATCAGGCTTGACGCTAGCATTTCTCTTGTCATGGAGAAGGTTTTGTTCTCCCGCAGTAAAAGATGGTCCTCGAGTACTAGTTGATGTTGCAAAGTCCGAGGATGGTACGGCCGAGGCCACTTCCTCGGCCCAATTTCTCGTCTTCCCGCGTTTCCCATTGCCCTTGTTGCCTGAGCGCGCTTTCACATTGAATTTCGGCGGGCCCATCGGCGTCCGCTTAGGCCCGGTGCTCGAGGTGGCCGCGCTTGAGCCCACGATCGGTGCCGCTTTGGCTGCAGCAGCACTAGCCAACGAAGATGTGGTCGCTGGGGGTGCCACATCTGTCTTTGCCGCAGGGGCATTCACGAGAGGAGGCTCGTCATCAGACGAATAGTCACCGAAACCGAGATCGTCTGCCATCTTATTTGCTAAGAGAGGTTCAATAGCCTACAGGTGTGGTCTAGAAAATAACTACATAGCGTGTGGATGAAATTATCGTCGCAAAAGCAGAAAATGAAATTGTCGAGATTACCAGCAGAGAGAACTTTTTTCATCAAAGAAGCGAAACAGAATTCCGAACGAGCAGTTCTTTTGAATTTAAAGTGGTCACATATTAAGGGCCTGGTGACTTATTTGAATAAAAACTTCATGAAATGAGTACGGCTATGAAGGTCGAGATTCATCGACGATGGAATGCTCGATTGGAGCGCCAAAAGACGTCAGGAGCCTGATGAACATTAGTTGACAAAAAGAGAAATTGAAATGCTTGCATAGAGATAAAGACACTTCCTAAAAATTTCAAAGCGCAGAGAAATCAAAGTGTGCAATAGAAACGCCTTGCACGACTGGTCTCATATTCAATGTTTCTCTAGCATGGACTGATCATGAACACCGGATGAGATGGGCATTCAATTTGAAGAATTATCATAATTCTGAGAAACAAGCAGAGAAGAAGATTGTATATGCTGTTTACTGTTCAAATTGCTTCGCAAAAGATCCTGTAACTGTGTTACTACTTTTTGACGAGACGCACCCATTATTGGATCCACCACTTCAAAGATATGAATTCACTCCTGAGAGGACGATGTCGCGGATTCGTATTCGATAAAATCGATTAGAATGTGAAGCGCTGTGAACTCGCAGTTGATGAGATAGTTTTTGCTGCCGGAAGGGATCTGAACCATCAAGGCAAACACCACGACCTTGATGAAACAGCGACTCTTATTCGCTGATGAAGTGCAACGAACATTGCAGATCACGGGCCTCTTCCAGCGTATGACTACAATTCAGTACGAATACAGTACGAAGACGCAGTCTTCTATATTGGCAGTCTCCTATAAAGACCCACAATTATTATTTACCTTCTTCAGTCCAACATTAATCATAACAAACTTAGATGGACTAATCCAGCGGAACGGAAAGCTGTTTTAGCCGTCTTTGAACTTTTCTCGAGTTCCTGGGAGATACAAAAAATTTCTGCGTCACTGTTGCCACGGGGACAATGGAACTCTTGATGAGAAAACCAAAGGAGCAAAAAGTAGACCTACGCGCGCACCTTGACAACATTATTACGAGCAGCAATGGCAAAAAACAACCATGACACCAGATCTGAGATTTTGTAATGTGAGACCATGAGACATAATAAGAATAGAACACCCACGTTTTTAAAACTGGATAACATAAAAGGAAGAAAGTACTAGATACCAAGTCAAGGATGAGAATGGGTCCTGCAAAAATATAATCTCCGTAACGTGTTTAGCGGGAGCGGTTTCATTAAAGATCCCCAGTTCTACCGATGCCGGAGAATGCGTGTGTAAATTCGCCGTACTGCTGTTTGTTGTTAGGGCTTTCCAATGCTGATTTATAATCTCTACTTATCTTGATTTCTAACATACCGCTGCTGCCCTTTCCTCGTATTGGTGGATAAGCTGTACATATTTCATCATCGGGTATACTTGAGAGAAGGATATCCGGTTACACATAGATATGGATATGATTATCATGCGGATTTCAATAAATATATCTATGATATGTTATCAACTAACTGAGGCAAGACCGGACCATAATGTTGATGACCGAGGGCTCATTGACCTCTCCCCAGCCAAGGCGGAGATTGATGGGTTTGATTTTGACCGCGTCCTTTTCGTTTTGAAATTTGACTTCCCATCGCTCGTTGTCATCCTCGCAAGACCCGTGCTTCTGAACGATTCCTCGCTTGCCGTTCAGCCGAACGGCTCCCTCGAGACCGCGAGCAACCACTCGACTTTGCACTGCCTGCAAACAAGCATCTACATACATTTCCAACATGGCAATGCAGTCCATTTGCTGGAGCTGCGCATGAGACTGGGGGTTGGACAGCCCGGCCTTCGCCTCCTTAACGCCATACTCCCTCGTTTGTTGCAACAAACAATGAAAATGGGCCCACATCGGAGCCGAATCGGCGGTGAGTGCGCTGGTCAGCGATAAGGGGCCAGTGCACGAAAGGTTATACGTATCGAAAGACGGCATCTGAGTTGGATCGAGCAGGAAGGCGCCACCCGTATAAAATTTCTGGGTTTAGGCATCAGGCACAATGCGGAGTGGGGTACCGCGCGCACGGAGAGTGACACGCGCTCAATGTCAGCTTCGTGATCGAAAAATCTCGCGTATTCGAAAATCCCGTAGGCAGGACCGCAGAGGTCAATAAACACAAATCCCGCCTGCTCGCTGGCCAATTCTGCCACTACATAGTAGTGCATCAGAAGGCTGTCCCGTCTTTAAGCCCAAAGTCATTCGCTTCGCGTCGATGCGCTGGTTCGAAACTGACGCTACGCGGTGGATGGCGCAAAAACATAGGCGGCGTTGGCCGGGGTTGGCGACCGCACCGCGTTGGCGTTCTCATGCGTCGGCAGTAGCGGGATCTCGGCACGCGTTTTCACACGCCCGCCCCCCTGGCGTTCTATTGAAAAAGCCATCCCCCGAAGCTGCCCCAATTCGTGAAGGGAGGCCCGCCCCGCCCTGAGGGGTCTTGGAGAAGGTAGGCGGCGCACACAGGTGAAGGCGGGTTAGGTGCAAAGTGGGAAGATGGCCAAGCGGGGAGACTGACAGGGAAAGAGCTAGGCGACGCCGTCGACTTATCGCGGCCCGACTGCCAAGCCGCAGGACCATGGAGCCGGCGGGTGCGCGGGCGTGGTCTCCCTTGCTCCAAACGCCGCGACTTTTCAGGCGTTCGGCTTGCAAACTCTTCAAAAGTCGGCGCCTGTCGACCAAGCGGCAACCGGCGCTAGGATTCTCGTCGCCGTCGTCGACCTATCGCGGCCCGGCTGCCAAGCGGCAGGACCATGGAGCCAGCGGGCGCGCGGGCGTGGTCTCTCTTGCTCCAAGAGCCGCGACTTTTCACGCGTTCAGCTTGGAAACCCTTCAAAAGTCGGGGCGTTGCGGTCGCGGTTAGCAAGGGCGCGAAATTCAGTGGGTTTGCCACTGAGTTCCCAAAGGGTTTTTTTGGCCATCGCGCTGGAGACGGGGGGCCGCGAAATCTAATGCGTGCCCGCATCCCACCGCGATCAGATTCCGGAAAAGTAGCGCGCTCCCTATCAGCTTCCCCTTAGGCCGCTACGGAGGGCGGCCGCGACCCTAAGGGCAGGCGGGCGGGTCAGTTGGTGGGTAAATGGGTGGGCAGGTGGGTGCGCAAGTGGGTTGGTAAGGGGGCGGGTAAGAGAGTGGGGAAACCAGTGGAGAATCGGGCACGGAAGGGGGTTGGTTAGTTGGTGGATGGGCAGGAAGGCTAGGCGGTAAGGGAAGTGAGTAGCCTGGGCACCTTCGCCGCATTGGCCGGCAATGTCAGACTTACAGAAGTCAAAGGGAGCGGAGGGCCCCAAAGGTGGCGGCCCTTCTCACACATCTGAAACTTTTAGGGCTTAAAAGTCCACGCCTTTTGTAAGCTCTGAGAGTTTCAGACTTACGAAGGGCCAGCTGCTTCCGACTTGCCGACTTATCGCGGACAGGCTGCTGGTCTCTCACAAATCTGAAATTTTTAGGGTTTCAAAGCCCACGACTTTCGTAAAGTGAGCCCGAGAGTGGTAGTGTATGAGTAAGAAACTTCCCAACGTGTGCACTAAGGCCCAGCCGTCTGCAATCTTGTGACATCCTATCAGTATAAGTGTGAAACCCCTCCCCACCCTTCCGCAACCGATTGGAACAAAAAGGCGCGCCGTCTCTTGACGAGTTGCGACGAAAGATGGAAGATATCCAGAGGCGCTTTCCCTTTTTACTTATTCTTTCGCACCACCCGCCTGGCGCGTCCTCGATTCTGCCGACCGTTGCACCGCTACGGGACCCATAACAACTCGACAGGCGCGACGTGGCGCGTTGTCCCTCTGGCGGCCGTAGGCCGCCAGGGACAAGGGCGCAGACAGTTGCCTTGCTGGGCTGTTCGCGCTGGATTATGCGGCGCACACCACGCACCCACCAGCGCAGCGTGGCGCGTTGTCCCGCTGGCGGCCGTAGGCCGCCAGGGACGAGGGGGCAGAGGGTTGCCTTGCTGGGCTGTTCGCGCTGGATTATGCGGCGCACACCACGCGCCCCCCAGCTCAGCTCGGGCGCCGCCCCTCTGGCGGCCACGGCCGCCAGGGACGCGGCGGCAATGCGTGACCATCTCGCCCCCCGCCCCCCTTGTCGCCCCCCGCCCCCCTTGTGCAAAAAGTTTGCTCGACTGTGGACCCATATAACAAGCCTGCGACGAAGAATGCGCCCCCGAACTGCGCCCAACCATGTAACCTTGTACAAAGGGGGGCGGGGGGCGCGGGGTACCACGGGGGGCGGGGGGATGCGTCAGACAGTCGGTCGCCTGTGTAACTGAAGAACTAAGGCACGCCCCATCGTCCCTGGCGGCCGATGCGCCAGACAGGGCGTCGTGTATTTCAAGGACTAACGCACGCCCCATCGTCTCTGGCCTCGGCCGCCAGCGGGACGATGCGCCAGACAGGGCGTCTTGCCGAGCTTCTGCGGCCTTACCGAGAGGCGTTCGCGATTGAAGATATCCCCTTGGCTTTCTTCGTGTGCGTGTGCTACCTATACCGGGCGCACTTCTGAGAGCTACAGGCGCACAGGGTTAGCCTTGGCCTTTAATGATGTTCCGGACGCTTAAAAAGGAGGGCGGGCCCATGCCTCATGGTGTCGCCCGTCGTCTCATTCGGTTCGCATCGGTAGCCGGAGGGATTGCAGAGGAGACGGGTACGCCGAGCGAGTGGCGAAACCGATAAGAGAACGGCGGAAGCATCTGGACATAGCCCAGAAAGACGGAGGCGGAACCGATAAGGAAACGGGAAAAGGAGAGAGACGAACTGGCCCCGCGATCTAGGGACTGGCGTGCCAAACTGTGAAGAAAAGTGGAAAAGTATCGAAAACAGCCCAGAAGTACCGCTGTCCCTTAGCGGTTTCGCTTAAGCGTTTCGCGAGGATCTGAGCGAGCTGATGCGAAGACGCTCCTCATGAAAAAAAGGAAATATCTGAAAGAAGTCCCCAGGCTTTCTTTTTAAATGAGGAGCGTCTACAGCTCAGCTCGCTCAGGCAGCCCCACGAGAAGAACTGACGACGGAACTGCGCGAGCATGTCCGGAGCCTCTTACGCAGTTCCATTCCCGCACGGTATGAACTGCATGCGCGGCCTTTCGTCTTATTTCAAAACATTCGCCCGGAAATCATTCCCGCACTTAAAGAAATACTCTCAAACATTTGAAGAATATCCATAAATATTCTCGAAATATTCGCAGAGTGTTCGGGTGTTCTTAAATATTTACGAAAAGAAGACGAAAAAGAAAACGACCGCCGCAGCGTCTCCGACGAAAATCCTCGCAATGGTTTCCCGGGTCTCCTTAGCGATTTCCTCGCGAAACTCTTAAGCGAAACCGTTAAGGGACAGCGGTACTTCTCGGCCGTTTTCGATATTTTGCCGCTTTTCTTCACAGTTTGGGACGCCAGTCCGCCTATCGTGGGGCCAGTTCGTCTCTCTCCTTTTCATATTTCCTTAGCGGTTTCGCCTCCGTCTTTCCGGGCTCTTTTCCCGTGCTTTCGCCATTCCCTCATCGGTTTCGCCGCTCGCTCGGCGTGCCCGTCGCCTCTGCAATCCCTCCGGCTACCGATACAAACCGAATGAGACGACAGGCGACACCATCAGACACGGGCCCGCCCTCCTTTTTAAGGGTCTGGGACATCATTAACGGGAAAGGCTAAACCTGTGCGCCTGTAGCTCTCAGAGGTGCGCCCGGTATAGGTAGCACACGCACACGAAGAAAGCCAAGGAGATAACTTCAACCGAGAACACCTCCCGGGAAGACCGCAGAAGCCTAGGAGGGCGCCCTGTCTGGCGCATCGTCCCGCTGGCGGCCGAAAGCCGCCAGGGACGATGGGGCATGGGCTAGTCCTTCAGCTACGCGGCCGTCTGTCTGGAGCATTCCCCCGCCCCCCTTGTACCCCGCGCCCCCCTTGTACAAGGTTACGTGGTTGGGCACAGTCCGGGGGCGCACTCTTCGGCGCAGGCTCGTTATATTGGTTCACCGTCGCGCAAACATTCAACCTTGTACAAGGGGGGCGGGGGGCGAGATGGTCACGCGTTGCCCCCTCGTCCCTGGCGGCCTACGGCCGCCAGAGGGACGACGCGCCACGCTGCGCTGGTGGGCGCTGATGGGCGCGTGGTGTGCGCCGCATAATCCAACGCGAACAGCCCAGCAAGGCAACCCTCTGCCCCCTCGTCCCTGGCGGCCTACGGCCGCCAGAGGGACGACGCGCCTCGCTGCGCTGGTGGGCGCTGATGGGCGCGCGGTGTGCGCCGCATAATCCAGCG